GAGGTCAATGCACACTGCTCAGATAAGCAGTCTGGTGCAAGGCTGATAGGTCTCAGACCTAGCAAGACCCAGCATACTTCGGGGGTGGGGGGAACCCACACAGCCCTAACAACCTCAGGAGCTTTGGGCAAGCCTGGCACAGGTGCCACTGGCCACTTGTCTAAATGAACTCACATGTCCAGCAGGGGAGGCATTAACCCAAGCACAGAGGATATTCCATCTGCTTACTGTTCTCCAAGCACAAGGCCAGGAATCCAGCAGAAGCCTGGGAGAGTTTGTGTGAGTATCAATCTGTGGTGTCCCCATCCTACGGCCCCCTCCCACGAGGCAAACCAGCCCCACACTCAGCCCCTAAAGGGAAGCTTCCATCCAGGCACCGCTCCTGCTGAAGGCTCTCCCAACAGAAAGGGGGGTTTGCAAGTTTTTATCGTCCTTACCCTGTAATGAGGAGCAACGAGGTGAAGACATAATTAAAAACTCCCAAATGGGGATGTAGTTCAGAGCATGTGCAAGGCCCTGGGTTCGATCCCCAGCATAAAAGCCAAAAGCAGTATGCGTCACATGTCAGAAGCACAGCTAGTCCCTGTCCTGTAGACAGAGCTCACATAGAGTGGAGGGTGTTGAGGGTTGGTGTCCTGCCTTAGGCTCTTGGGCCTGGAGGACAGGTCAGTGCACAGAAAGTTCTTAGCACTCTGGCTAAGACTGGGATCCTGTAATAGTTTGATGAAAACAACTTACAGTTCAAAAGCACTTGGACTGTCCTCTCTCTCGACCCCCACACCCAGAGGACATGATTCTCACCACCTCTGCGCATGGCATGAGATTTCTGCAAAGTGAAAACTGCATTTTGGGTCTTACAGTGTTGAGTTTGTGGGATAGTCCCCTACTTGAGCTGTATTTGGAACCAAGGTTTAGGAAAAGTGTAAACCCACACTTAGTCTGCAGAGGACAATAGTACACCACGTTCATGCTGCCCTCCCCTTGGCCTCAGGCCATGTTGTGTCTGGCCTTCCTCATCACTGTGCCTGGTTCTTCACCAACATCCATGTAGCATGAAAATGTCAGCCAAGAATACACACTTGCACAGTGGGTTTATTACTCTTGTAACTGTCAGTACCTGTCTACAGTAACAGAATCCCTCTGTGAACATCAAACTGAACCTCGCAGGTCTGGCCCTTGTCCCTGTGGTTTGCTGCAGCCTGGACGTTTTCACGTGGGACAGTGCACTTGAGGTTCACAGTGGGAGCATGCAGTCAGTGTCTGCCGGTCACCGAGCAGTGAGGTACCACCATTTGTCCCTCACCAGCTGATAGGTATTTGGGTTGTTTCAAATTTGGGGCTTTCATGAAAGAAAGTTTTTTGTATGAACGTGTTTTTTCTTTTTCGCTTTTTTGAAAAGAGTCTCATCCATATGGTATGTAGCCCAGGCTGGCCACCACCACACCTGGCAGTGTTTAGTCTTATGACACTGCAAGATGTCGTGTAAAGCAACCCCACAAACATAGTGAGTGTTCCCTGTCTGTATCGGTAGGCTCCCGATGTCAGTCATCTGTCGATGTTGTGGTACTCCGTGTTGTTCTCACGTGCAATTCCCTAAAGACCTCTGATGTCCAGCACTTTTCTCAGGCTTATTTGCTGTTTATCTTCTTTGGTGAGGTGGCAGTGTTTTGCTTTTCATAAAATTAAACATACAATCATCATTTGACCCAGCTATATCATCTCCTAGGTATTTACCAAGGGAAATGAAAACACATACCCATGCTGGGCTTGGTAGTATATGCCTGCAATCCCAGCACCTGGGAGGCTGAGGCAGGAGGATTGTGGGGTGAGGCCAGCTTAGACCACATAGTGAGACCCTGTCTTAAACAAACAAAACAAAAACCCTCAGCACACTGTCAAGCTTAAGTATTTACCTAACTGATTTGAAAATGCATGTCTATACGAAGGCCTGCACACAGACGTCTATAATAGCTTTATTTGTAATTACAAAAACTTGAAAGTGAACAAGATGTCCTTTATTAGGTCAGTGGACAAGTAAACTGACATGCCACCAGAGAGAGGAATACTGCTCAGTGCTAAGAAGAAACAGGAGCTGAAGCCATAGAAACAGAGCCATATTATTTCATGATGACGGCCCCATGATGACATTCTGTATCAGGCAACCATGGGGACAGTAAAGAGGTGAGGGACCAGAGGCGCAAAAGGGGCCAAGCGAACTCTATGTATACAGTAGTGGTGGACGTGGGCCAAACTCATGGAATGAACGCTTTGGTAGCACTTGGGAGGCAGGAGGATTGTGAGTGCAAGGCCAGCTCAGGCTACAAAGTGACGCCACATCACAAAATAACAGCAGCAACCCCCCCGGAACGTACGATGCTGTTATGGTTTGACTGTGCCTCAAATGCAGGTGTTGGAACTTAGTGGCCCGTGTGGTGTGTGGAGGCCAGCAGGCCATGAGGACCCCTCCCTCATGCACGGGGTTGAGGTCCTGGTGACAGGTGTCCTAGCTTGCTCTGGCACCTTTGCCGTGTGAGGATACAGCACTCATCTCCTGTGGAGGTGGGAGCTGCGAGGTGCCACCTAGGAAGCAGAGCAGCCTTGCTAGACCAACCTGAGCCTGCCAGTGCCTTCACCTTGAATTCCGGCCTCCAGAACTGACAAGCGTGTCTTGAAGTACTCCGTTACAGTGGTGAACGCAGTGTTCAGTGTGGGAGCTGCGGGCCTGCGGCTCAGTACTCACCAGGTTCTTTGGTTGTAACAAACGCACTGCCTGCTGGAAAGCTGCGCCCGTGCGAGGCCAGGGGGTGGGGAGAGGAACAGTGGGGACTGTGTGTACTTTCTGCTCAGTTCTGCTGTAAATCTAGAATCATTCTAAAAATCAGGTCTACTAATTTAAAAAGTGAAGAAAAATCCAGACTTGCCTCTCCCATCGGCTGCACCATTTTGCATTTCCAGCACAAGTACCCTAGCCCTTGCTGTGGTCATTGCTTTCTTTTGGTAAGCAATCTGAAAGGTGAATTGAACTTTGTTTCCTCTCTGAATGAAATGTGCCTCTGCATCTGGAGCACCTCCCTTCGACTGCCTGTCCAGTCCCGTGCCCACTTTGCTGCTGTGCCCCAGGGCTGGGAGCAGCTCCCCTTCCCTCCACCCAGGGCTATGGACAGCTGCCAGGCTTGCTCTCTGCAGCTGGGCTTGTTTTTGTCTTAGTTGTGCTGGGGGTCAAACTCAGAGACTTGTGCATGCTAGACAAATGCTCTACCACTGAGCTACACCCCCAGCCTGTGGGACTAATAAAAATTACTCCCCTTATAGAATTTGATTGGTTAGCACAAACCTTAGGCTAAGATATTTTGTGGACACCACCCACAGTGTAGCCAGCATAGGTCAGGGGTCAAGATAACAGTAATGCTGCCCGTCCCGCTTCCCTTGGATTCCTCACAGACTCTCATGTGTGTTCCACAGAGCTCATGACTATGATGACAGCCAGGGGCTACGCACCATTAGGTCCTCTGTGCAGGTCACCTAGCAGCCACCCATCAGTGCCGTGGAGGAGCCCTTGGGGTGGGGAGCGGGCACCTGACGTGACCTCACAATGCCTGTCCACTAACAGCATGCAGAGCTCACAGAAAGAACATGGTGTCACCCAAAGTGTGTGTGAAGAACTCGGCTCTTTCTGAGCCACCCAGGCCACAAGGCTCTCCTGATTGAGTCCAGGACCCTTAGAGATCATGGCCTGGAGGAAACACAAGTGGTCTTTGGATTCCAAAAAACGTGCTTCCTGGGGCCTTCAGTGACATTTTTTTTTTTTTTTTTTTGGTGGGACTAGGGTTTGAACTAAGGTTTTATGCTTGCAAACCAGAAGCTCTACCACTTAAGCCATACCTCCAGTCCAAATGGCATCTTATTGACGTTTTGTGGCTCTGCAAAAGTGACGCTTGCCTGCAGGCTGCGTGCTTGGAAGCCAGGTTGGGTTTTCTCATTTTTTTCCCTTTTCCTTGTTTCACTGGGCACATTTTTATGTTGTGACATCAGCAACTATCTGTCACCAGCTATAGCAGGCTTGCTAGCCTCCCTGAAGCTCTCTGATCACTAAAAGCCTTCAGATTTTTAAAAATTATGGAGGCAGAGCCAGGTGTGGTGGTGCATACCTATAATCCCAGCTACTCAGGAGGCGGAGGCAGGAGAATCATGAGTTCAAGGCCAGCCTAGGCAGTTATTGAGACTCTACCTCAAAACCAAACTACAGACAAAAGATCTGGGGGTGTAGGTCATGTGGTAGAGAGTTCATGTTCCTTGGGTTCAATCCCCAGTTCTTAAAAAAAACAAAAAAACACTGAGGCTGTGGTGTAGCTCCATGGTGAAGCACTTGCCTAGTGTGTGCAGGACCCTGGGTTTGATCCCCAGCATCACACACACACAAATTATTGAGGACCCCAAAGAACTTTTCTTTATGGGGGCTTTATCTACTGATATTTACCATATTAGAAATTAAGAGGAAGACATTTAAAAATATTAAATTAAAAATGATGCTAATAATAAAAATGTAAAGAAAACAATGCTGGGGATGTAGCTTAATGGTGGAGCCCTTGCCTAGTATGCACAAAGCCTTGTTTTGGATCCCCAACACTGCAAAAGAGCAAAAGCAAACCGATTACTCGCTAATGAAAGATACCTATATTTTCTCAAAAAAAAAAAAAAGGTGACTTTTTAGATCAATAACAATTTTTAAAGCTCAAGCATTATAAGCAGTAAAAAGAAGCAAAGTAAACAGGACAACATCCACCAACAAAAACAGATGCAAAAAGTGGAGAACTTGGCAGGTGCTGGTGGCTCACACCTGTAATCCTGGCTACTTGGGAGGCTGAGTTCAGAGGATCATGGTTCGAGGTCAGCCCAGGGAAATAGTTCAGGAGCCCACATCTCCAAAATAACCAGAGCAAAAATGGACAGGAGATGTGGCTCAAGTGGTAGAGCGCCTGCTTTGCACGTGAGAAGCCCTAAGTTCAAACCCCAGTCCTGTCCAAAAAAAAAGAACTTAGCGTATCAAAGTACTACACAGGAGTGAAAAATGGGCTGCAGTGCCGGTGCCAACGTGAGTAAGTCCTGGAAGCAATGCTGAGTGAAAAGTCACTTTGCACCTCTTGCACTTTTGAAAAAAGCTGCAGAGCACAGCCGTCTCGGGAACTCGCGGAAGGTGGTGAATCGTGGCGCCCACAGCTGCGCGCCCCTCCCGCCCCGGCACTCAGCCGTCAAATGGACTCCAAGGACTGACGGCCGCCTCGCTCCTACCTTTCCAAGCTTGCGACTACTTTCGTTACATCTCAGGCCCCGGACTCTTGCTCGCGGAATAACGGATGGCAGACAGGTGGCTTCCTGCGGACCTGGAGCGGTGGCTCCATAGGGGACTCCGTAAGCGACGTCGCGGACACCTGCCCCTGGGGCTCCATCACAGCGGAGCCCGGTCCCACTCCTTGGCTTCCGCCTGTCCTCTGGGCGCAGCCCCGTGGGGGACACCAGCCTCCCGGCTGAGGACGGCGGTGGCGGTGGGCTCGTGGCTCGCCAATCCACGGGGCCGCCGCCAGAGGCCGCCGCCGCTCCCCTATGACACAGCAACAATAGGGGCCGCTCTGGGCTGCGCGCGCCTCGGGCCCGCGCTTCCGCCGGAAGGGAGCCGCCGGCGCGGGGGCGGGACGGGGCGGGGCGAGCGCGATGGACGGCCGCACGAACCAATTGAGAGCGGAATAGGGCCGGCCGTGCGACTGACGGAACCCAATCGACGGCGAGAGCGGCAGCGGGGCGGGCCGAGCGTGGGCTTCCGGCGGGGCCCGGCAGGCGCCGAGGAGGAAGAGCTAGCTCGGACGGCGCGTCTTGGCCGAGTGTAGGCGGTAGCCAGGTGTGGGGCCGGCCGGGGGCGGACGCGGGCCAGGGCAGTGGGGGCGGTGCGGCGGCCGGGGCGGGAATCCCGGGGTCTCTCCAGCGCCCCCTCGCCGGCTTGGCGCGGGAACTCGCGTGGGCTCGGTGGGCTGCCGCGGGAGCCGGGCGAGGGCGGCCGATGGCCCTGGTCCGCGAGATGGCAGGACGCGGGCGGCCGCGCGGCGCCCCGCAGACACGGTGTCGGCCTGGTCACGGTCCCGCCGGGGCTGTCCCCAGCCAGCTCCGCTTGAACGCGACGAGGCTTCGCGAGTGTCACAGTGACGTCGGCGGGGCGCGCGAGCCCGAGCCGCGGCGCGGTTTAGGTGCATTTGAGAAACGGGGAGAGGCGCCCAGGTCGGCCCGGAGCTCGGCCCTGGTGGCTGGCCGGAGGCGGGCCCTGCGGCTGCGCGGCCGGGGCAGCAGCGGGCGGAGCAGCGCTTCGGTGGAGGGCGGGGCAGCGGGGGACACACTGGACAGCACACGGCCGGGCCGTCTCTGCCCTTTCAGGATGACGACTTCAGGCGCTCTCTTCCCAAGCCTGGTGCCGGGCTCGCGAGGGTCCTCCAACAAGTATCTGGTGGAGTTTCGGGCAGGAAAAATGTCATTAAAGGGAACTACGGTCACCCCAGATAAACGGAAAGGGCTAGTGTACATTCAGCAGACGGACGACTCTCTCATTCACTTCTGCTGGAAAGACAGGACGTCTGGGACCGTGGAAGATGTAAGTGCCGGCCCCTCTGCTCCGTGAGCGGCCAGCAGAGGTTCGGGGTTCCCGAAGGAGGTGGGCTGTGTGGGGACTGCTGCCTGTCCGGCAGGTGGGTCCTCCCAGTCTGAGGATGACAGACTGCTCTGGCCACTCTGCTACAGTCCTGCGTCCATGAGGTTTTAACACCTAGTGACAAAATCAGCTGGCGACTCATTCCTGGCTTTAAACTTTAGATGAAAAGTCTGTAAAAACCAAGAGTTTCATCAGAGCAATTGGAAGAGAGCTTGCTCCTACTTTCTTTAGAGTTCTTGGTTTTTTCAAACTAAACTCTTCTTTGTTATTTATTTATTTATTTGTTTACTTACTCATTTGCTGGCCTGATTGGGGTTTGAACTCAGGGCTTTGCACTTGCAAAGTAGGCTCTGGACGGCTTGAGCCACACCTCCAGTTCATTTTGGTCTGATTATTTTGGAGATGGGGTCTTGCTTGGTGACTTCCAATGACAATCTTCCCAATCTCAGCCTCCCAAGTAGCTAGGATTACAGGCATGAGCCACCGGCTGACTTTCTTTGTTAGTCTTTGTTAGTTTTGCAAGCCTCAGTGATCCCAGAATGTTTTTAAGTTTTTCAAGATCTATAGGCTCACCTTCCCTGCCTGCCCTCGCTTCCCCCCACCAGCCCCTCTCCCAGTCCTCACTCGGGTTCACCCTTCACAGTGGTGACTGAGCTCTGCACCCTACCCTGTCAGATTTCCCTGGATACCCAGGGCCTCAGTGCCACTGTCTACAGGAGGATGATTCTGCTTTTGGTTGCCAGGATTTGATTATCTTCCCTGACGACTGTGAGTTCAAGCGTGTGCCTCAGTGTCCCAGCGGGAGGGTCTATGTGCTCAAGTTTAAGGCCGGATCCAAGCGACTCTTCTTCTGGATGCAGGTACTCAGCAGGGCTGTTTTTTGATTTGGCTTTTCTCGCTGTCAGGAGCTTTCTTGCCTTGTGGTAGAATTGGCTTTCACATACCAGCTGGTGCTGCCCTGGTGTGCCTGATGGAGCTCTGATTCCTTAGTGTTACTGCAGTGGGTAAGGCTCATGGTTGGGCTCTGGCCCTGGCCCCCTTTTGAGGTGTGGAACCCTGGACAGGTAGGCATCAACAGGTACACTGCTTCTGGTTCCTCCATCTTCCACTGTCCCCTTTCATGGGTCACTGGCACTCCGTAACAGTGGCACATCCTCTCCAAGCTTTCCCATGCAGTATGTCCTAGAGGCTATGATTCCCTTCTCTATAGCTGCTGTGTCCTTTGAATCAGGGAACTGCTGCTCATTCTGCCACCTGTCGGTGGCCATTGGGCATGTTTCCATTCCTTGGCTGTGTTGCATAGACTGGCCGGGGGCATAGACTCTTTCTCTAGCTTGTCAGCTAGACCTGGGCTTGTATGTTGAGGCACACACACATTTTTACAGTTTGGACAGTCTCTGCCCCAGTACACAGTGGACTGCTGCCCTCCCCAACACAGTCTAGAGAGGTAGCAGTTGTTTCTGGGCCAATAGTCTGCTCACCTGAGCCCAAGGACATGGAAAGCAGCTGAGGATAATAGGATGGATGGGGTTGTGTTTTAATAAAACTTTACTTACAAAAAAGGATGGGCGCTACTGGTGCAGAATGTTTCCTGGTAGTTCTGACAAACTATCAACTTTGATCACCTATCTTTTTAGCTAGGCTGGCCTGGAACTAGAGCTTCTCCTGCCTCCTGAGTGCCTAGGTTGCAGGCACAAGGCTCATTTGGTCCTCTCTACCCCTCTTATTTCCTGATTTTACTCATTTAATGCTTTCTTGTCCCTTTGCCATGAGGGCAGGGGTTGTCTCACTGGTACCATGCAAGGTCTGAAGCAGGTGCTTGAACTGTATAGGTCCCTTGTCTGCAGTTCTGGGGATTTTCAGGGTGAGCTGTCAGGATCCCCCTCCACCCCTCAGGCAGAAGTGTGATGCAGGGTCAGTGCAGCACATCCACTGGCTGAGGGAAGGAGGCCAGGGGAGGAGTCATCCCTGGAGGCTGCTGTGTGCTGTCAGCTCTAGTTTCTCCAGCAGGAAATGGGCATCACCCACCACCCAGAATCAGCAGATGGGGATGGCAGAGTACAAAGCCCCAGGCTCAGGAGGTGTGCCTGCTGTCTTCCCTCAACACCTAGGCTGGGTCCTGTCTCCTCCTCAGGTTCTGTGTGAATTGGGAGGACTGATTGTGCTGATGCTCACAAGTGGCCAGCACAAGTCAGCTCCCATGTGGCCTGCTCAGTTCTTGTGTCCTCCCTGCAGGAGCCTAAGACTGACCAGGACGAGGAGCACTGCCGGAAAGTGAACGAATATCTGAATAACCCTCCTATGCCTGGAGCACTGGGGACCAGTGGGAGTGGCGGCCATGAGCTCTCTGCTCTTGGAGGTAATGGTCACTGTGGACCTGGGTGGTGCAGGCCAGTTGTTCTTAAGTGGTCTGGTAGGTTCTAAGTCAGACCTGTTTTTAGTTCTGGTCTATTCCATCCCCTTCTTGGGGGATGAGATGTTCCTGGTCCCTTGCTGCCTCTTTCCAGGTTCTGCTCCTGGTACAGCTCTGGGGGAGCATCTCCCAGGCTGCAGTGCCCATGCATGTTGGGGCCCAGGTCACAGGAGGCCTGTATCTGACCCCTTGTTTTTGTGTTTTCCAGGAGAGGGCGGTCTGCAGAGCCTGCTGGGAAATATGAGTCACAGCCAACTCATGCAGCTCATCGGACCAGCTGGCCTTGGAGGACTGGGTAACACTCACTCACTCACTCACTACTGTCTTCTGTGTAAAGGGTGTCTTCGCTGTGCTTTTTTTTGTTTTTAGTGGGACTGGGGTTTGAACTCAGGATTTCCTGATTGTAAAGCAGGTGCTGTATCACTTGAGTTATTTCTCCAGTCCATTTTTTTGCTGTGGCTATTTTGGAAATGGGGTCTCACAAACTGTTTGCTCAGACCAGTCTGGAACCACCGTTCTCCCAGTCTCAATCTGCTAAGTAGGATTGTGGACGCGAGCCATCAGCTCTCTGCCATGCTCACTTTTAACCCGCTGTTTCCTTCACGCTTCTGGTGGCTCACATGCACTCCCTGCGCCGCGCCCCTGCAGGAGGGTGCCTGCTCAGCCTGGGCTGGGAGTGGGGTATGAGCCCCAGCTCCACACCTCAGGGGGCACAGCTCACCTAGGGCAGGACCAAGCACATAGCTTGGGGCTCCTGCCTGGAGTTCTGGGGTTGGCCTGCCCCCCAGCAGCTCAGGTGAGGCACAGCGGGTATGTTCCTTTGGTTAGAACTTGGACTGAATTTTGGATGTTGTAACGGGGCAGAACACAAATGATCTGCCTCAGTGGAGTAAGCCTCCAGAATGTAGGATCTCAGTGGTTACCACTGCCTCCCAAGGCCTGCCATTTGCTACCTTCCCTGTTACTCGTGGCTTTGGTGTTGGAATGCCCTGCTCCTCTAGCCTGTGGAAGTCGATAGGGCCTTCTTTCCCAGGTGGGTTTGGGGGTATTCTGAGCACATCTTGTTCCTTGCAGGTGGGCTTGGGGCCCTCACTGGGCCAGGCCTGGCTAGCCTATTGGGGAGTGGTGGGCCTCCAGCAAGCAGCTCCTCGTCCAGGTGAGCTTGCAGCACCCTGCCCCAATGCACAGACATTGTCATCAGTGCCATTGTGTTCTTTTCAGAAGATCTCACATGGGAAATAGGAATGAAGGGTCCCTGGCATGGCAAAGCCTCTTGCCAGGGATGGTGTCTTCAGTAGAACCAATTGTCTTCACGCTTCCCAGCTCCCGGAGCCAGTCTGCAGCAGTCACCCCATCCTCCTCCACCTCTTCTGCCCGTGCCACCCCAGCCCCTTCTGCCCCAGCAGCTGCCTCAGCGACCAGCCCAAGTCCCGCACCCAGTTCAGGTAATGGAACCAGTACGGCAGCCAGCCCGACCCAGCCTATCCAGCTGAGTGACCTGCAGAGCATTCTGGCCACCATGAACGTGCCAGCTGGACCAGGAGGTGGCCAGCAAGGTAAAGAGTGTGTGCCGGTGCTAGGGAGAGGCTATTGCCCCTGGTTTGCTCACTGACTTTCCAGCATGTGTTCCTGAGCTGAGCTGCTGTCCTGCACATGTGTAGTTGGGGCGAAGCTGAGCCTCCCAACCTGTCTGTGCCTTGTGAACACTGTTGGGGGTTTTCAGGGCGTGTGGTCTGTTGCTGCCCTCCACATGGGGCCTCTGATAGCCATGTGCTTGTGCCATAGTGGACCTGGCCAGTGTGCTGACGCCAGAGATCATGGCTCCTATCCTCGCCAACGCGGACGTCCAGGAACGCCTGCTACCCTACCTGCCCTCAGGGGAGTCACTGCCTCAGACTGCGGATGAGATCCAGAACACGCTGACCTCGCCCCAGTTCCAGCAGGTAGGTGCAGGGCCAGAGTGCACTTGGGGAGGGGTGGGGGAAATGCTCTGCCCTGCAGTCTCTCAGTGCCCATGACCCACAAAGCTGGTGTTCACGCCCTTGCATCCCTACACTGGCGCTAACTCAGTGATCCCCAGGCATCTCTGGGCCTCGCAGGGTTTAGTGCCTCTAGCACTCAGCTCAGACACAGGCCCCTGAGCTAGAGCCTATGGCTCTTCCTTGTAGGCCCTGGGCATGTTCAGCGCAGCCTTGGCCTCAGGACAGCTGGGGCCTCTCATGTGCCAGTTCGGTCTGCCTGCCGAGGCCGTGGAGGCTGCCAACAAGGGCGGTAAGTACCTGCTTCTCCACCCCTGCCAGGGTGGGAATAGCTCAGTTCTCTGTCCAGCTCTCACCTCACCTCCAGCCCCTTGAGCAGCAGCTCTGAGCCAGGGTTCATTGGTCTGTTCTTGAAATGCATTTTCAGATGTGGAAGCATTTGCCAAAGCTATGCAGAACAATGCCAAATCCGAGCAGAAGGAGGGCGACACAAAAGACAAGAAAGATGAAGAGGAAGATATGAGTCTAGATTAAATTATTTGCAGTCTTTTAAGGAATTGGAATTCTTAGTCACGTGACTCCTGTAGTGGCGTTTGTGATTTGTTGCATCCCCTGTCCTGTTCTGACCCGCTAATAAATAAAAGTCCTTTCTTTTACCTGCCAACTCTGGTCTTTGTCCCCAGCGCGAGCTGCAGCAGCAACATGGACTGACAGCTGCTCTCCCAGCTGGTTTCGTCTGTGTCGAGGAAAGGACAGCAGAGGCTGGAGCCTGCATGTGGCACTTGGCTCTGCCCATTGACTTTTAATGGAACTGGTTTTACAGATCGCTCATAGTAACTACGGTGGGAGGAAAGTACAAAGCGTGAAAGCCCATTTTGCAGTCTTGTCCTTTCATTTGAAAAGATAAACCATCTCCAGATGATAGAATTCGTCACCTGTAGAACCCAGACTAGATAAATGCCACAAACTTCTATGAAGCCTACGTGATGGCAGAGGTGTAGGGCGGTGGTGTGAGCACCACGCCTTGTAGCAACCATGGGCAGCTGCTCCTGCTGGCCTACAGCTGCGGGTCAACACCTCTCCACTCTGCTGGGCTTCAGGCTTGAGACAAAGCCCTGCTGGATGGTGAGGCCAGGCAGGGACTGGGATCCAAGAGGGCAGCTGGGCTATGTGACTGGGCAGCCACTGGCCCCCACTACTCCCTGGAACTCTGCAGCAGCAGTCACGGTGACAGGGGACTGGTTCGCCACCAGCTTCCTCATGCAGCCACGATAGGCGGTGGACCCAGCTTCTGTAGCTGTGGACTCTAGGGGTGAGAGGGGCAGAAGAGTTCACTGGGCTGGCAGCTGGATTCCACAGGCCCTTGCCATGCTTCGGTCACCCAGCCTGTCTCCTCTGCTGCCCCTCTGTAGGAGGGTGGGATGGGAGTAGGGTTAACCCAGTGCCTGGTCCCGGAGGAGGCCCCACCCCTGGCAAGGGGTACTCACTGGGCAGGCCACCGAGGTGCAGAGGTACTGGGCTATCAGCCAAGGCTACCAGTGAAGGGCCCACGGTGTGGTTGCTCTGTGCGTCCACCTCCAGCCGGAGCACATTCCTGCCCTTGACTGCTGCTGGCAGATGTGTATTTACCTCAGCTTGGCCTAGAGCTCATGCCAGCTCTGCTGCCAGGGTCTGCAGTGTCCCCTGCCGCTCCCTGCTCTACAGAAGGGTGCAGGTGTCCTTGGCCATGGGATGGGGGCCCCACTCACCTGCCAATCGGTGCCACTGCCCATCACACAGTGCTGTGGGGTGTTTCACCCACGTAGAGAACTCGCCTGCTCCTTCATCTGCACGCAGCAGGACCTGGGGTCGAGGTGGGGGCAGTCAAGCTTCTGCCTGCTGGAGGCCAGCAGAGTGGGGAAGGCCATGCCTGCCCGGCACCACAGTCCTGCTTACCTTCTCCTTAAGAACCTGCAGCTGCAGGTACGGGGGTGCCTGGGTGTGTCCCAGGTGGAAGATCAGGCCATTGGGTGCCAAGGGCCGCACCTCCAGCTCCAAGCTCACATCAGGGAGTGTGACCTCTGGGGGTTCTGTGGGGAGAGCCATGATGGGAAAGGAAGGCCAGGCCCTGCCCAGAGCCTCCCAGAGCCCCCAGGAATCGCCCTGCCTCACAGACCTAAAGTGACAACTCCCCCGCTGCCTGCGAAGAACAGGCCATCCTCCAGTGGGCCTGAGATGCAGGGTGTGACCCCCACCATTTGTGTGGGGGTCCCTAGGTTCTGCCCATTCAGCCGCAGTCTCTTCACACAGCCACTGAATCCCACGGACACCTGTGTGGAGCAGACAGCTGGGGTCAGGCCAGGGCTGCTGAGGAGGGTGGACAGTGGTCAGGCCAAGGCCAGGGGTGGGGGAAAGATGGATCTCACGGTTCTCACGGGGAGCTTGGAGCTGTGGTTGCTGGCAGGGAGGCCCCCCACAAAAAGGGTGTGGGGCTGATGGCTCTCTGCCCTCTGGCCCCAATGGTGCGGCCCCTGTTGGCTCCAGGCCAGGATTCCATCTATGAGCAGCTGGATCTGACTCTTTTCCCAGCGCACAGACACCTGGGAGTAGGGAGGAGAAGGTCAGGGGGAGAGGGTTCCTGGGGCCCTACCCATGTCCCCTCATCTTAGACTCTCACCATGTGCCACCGGCCAGCCCGTGAACGCTGGCGGCTCCGAACTCGGAGCCGGGGCCTAGGGCCTTCGGTCTGTAAGACAAAGTGTCCATGGCTCAGGAAGAGCAACAGCGAGGGGCTGTGCCTTGTCTGGGGGGCAGCAAAGAGCAAGACGCCCTGCGGAGCACGAGGGTGGACCAGCATCGAGAGATGGGACCTGGAATCCAAGCACAGCGTCAATCTGGGCAGCACCTCCAAGCCTAGCCCAGCCCAGTCCAGCCCGGCCCAGCCCAGCCCGGCCCTACCAATTTCCAGGAGGATTTGTGATGCCTGCAAATTCCAGGTAACTGGGCGAGGGGCCTCCAAACTGGTAGGTGCCTCGGATGGTCCTGAGGCGCCGCGGCGGTGTACAGAAAGAGTCCTGGCTGTGCTGCCGGCTGCGGCGGGAAGCCTGGGGTGGGCGGGCACAGACCAGGATGCAAGGGCTACTGGCTTAGGGAGTGCCTTCCCACCCACTCCAGTTCCGCCTTCACACCACCACAGTGCCTTACCTTCCGAGTCGCAGCCCTCAGCCCTTGGGGTCCCTGCCTCAGGGTCTGTGTGTGAGGCGCCAGGGCACAGCCTGTGCTCACATTGACACCACCCGCATTTTGCTGCAGATCGAACACACGCTGTGGTCCCCGGAGCCTGTGGGGGACGGGTGAACTGCCAGTCAGCAGCTGCAGGGGGTTGGCTGGAACCTCATCTCCCCCACGCCCACAGCTCACCGTTGCACAAAAACATTGCTGATGCAGCCGCGGAAGTTAGAGGAGGTGTCAGACTCAGTCAGGCCTCCAAGGAGGAGCCTGGGACCCCCACTGGGTTGTGGCTGGAGCCCCAGGAGCGGCGCCTGGTGGGTCTTCATCTGCTGCAGCTGGTCGTCCACATAGAGCCAGACCCTGGAAGGTAGAAGGGCAGTGTTTCCCCAGCCCTCCCCAGCCCTGCCCACCCCTTCCCACAAGGCCTGTCTGTGAGAGGCAGGTGCTCACCCTGTGGCATTGCTGTAGAAGGCAACATAGTGGGGAGCACCATCAGCAAAGACGTCTCGAGTTTCCACCTCTGTCCTCATAAACTGGAATACCACATGGCCTTCCTGGAGGGACACCTGACATGGCCCGTCCTGGGGACAGTGGCCAGATTGGCTAGTCAGGCCAGGACCCGGACTCCCCCACTACAGCCACCCAAGTCCAGACCGGCCACAGCAGGTGGGGGAGCAGGCCGCGGCCAGCCTTAGTAAGGATCAGTGCCCAGGACTGGCGGAGTGTGGTGGGCGGGGCAGCCTCACCGGAGATGCACGGTAGTAAAGTAGGCTGCTGTCCTGGCTACTCCGGAAACCAAACCCAGAGTAGACCTCTCCTGTGAGGGGCGCCACGTCAGGGAGCAACAGGGGCAGGAAGCCGTGGCCATAGAAAGTCATGATGCGTCCTACCTGCAGGGAGAGGGCTCTGAGTGCCCAGCAGCGTGGGAAGAGGGTGCTGTCTGATGGGGCAGGGGGAGCGCAGCTCACCAGGAGGTCGGCGGTGCAGCCGAAGCTGATGCCTGTGGTGTTCAGCCTCTTGAGGTCCACGTATTTGCCCAGAGCCTTGATCCCTTTGACACAGCCGCGGACTGAGCCTCCGGAGGGGAAGAGCTGCCGCAGGCTGCAGGGGACAAGAGGGTCAGCCCTCCTCAGAGTGCCGCCCGGGCTGCACTGGGTGCACTGCCCCAGCCTCACCTCGGAGACAGCTGCTCTGGCGGCACGCCCCCCAGGTAGTAGGCATCGGCCAGTTCCAGTGAGTTGTCCTGCTCCACGCTGAACACTGTGGCCCTCTCCACACGCACCAGAACACGCTTGCGGTTGCCAGCCAGCAGGAACACCTGGATCTGGTGGGCACGGCAGGGGCTTCAGAGTAAGCAGTGGCCCTGAGACCCTCCCGGTCCCACGATCACCCTGGCCTTTACCGCCTTGCTGGCTGCCGTCAGGGGCGGTGCGGGTTGCAGCGGGACAGCCTCCTCCAGGCCTGTGCCGAAGTCATAGAGAAGCACAAGGTCGCCTTTGCGCACCGCCAGGCACAGGAATTGGCTCTAGGGGGACAGGGGCAGGATCAGCAAGGCAGGGACCTCATGGCGCAGAGTCCACATAGCGAAGGTCCCTGGGGGGGTGCCGGGGGGTGGGGGTGGGGGTGGGTGGTGTGCCTGGTGCTTTAGGAAGAAGAGGATCCCATTGTAGGACACGAGCCGCAGCTCCTGGTCGAAGCGCTTTGTGTTGCTCATCTGTTTCTCGAAGCCGATGCGAGCAAAGCCAGTGCCGTCCAAGTAGGAGCCATCTGTGAGCCACGGGTCTCCGGTGGACTTGGAGCTGCAGGCCAGAGACGTTGAGGTCAGCAGAAGGCAGAGAGAGCGGGGGCGGGGGGGCCGGGCTGTACGTACCGAGCACAAGGCTTATCCACGTCTGTGTCGAGCCAGAAGGTCCTCTCAAAGTTGTAGAGACTGACCACCTCCTCATTCAATGTGTCCATCTCAATGCAGCCCCGGTAGCCAGGGAAACGGAGGGGTGCCGGGGGCTGTGGGCACAGCATGTGATCAGGCCGCCTCGCCATTCAAGACAGACCAGTGGGAACCCAGACTGCAAGAGGACTGACTGAGACTGGCCGCCAAGGATAAGAGAGGTAGGACTGCTGGTCCTCTCCGACACTGCCCTGAGGCCGGGCCCCGCTTACCGTGAAGTTGCTGGGGTACCCTCCCACATAGAAGACGAAGTCGTCAGGCCGCAGGTTGAGTAGCCCCTCCATCCCAGGGGCCACTGTGTCCCCCTTGATCTCTTGGACCACCTGATTCTCCACTGTGACAGACATATGACCAAACTGAAGGGTCCTGAGGGCAGAGGTGCATGGTGAGGTGTGGATATGAGCCCAGCAGCTACAGGCCTGACCTCTCCCCAGGGCTCACCTGTCAATGCTGACAGTTGCGAATTGCTCCCCAATGTTCTCGTCAATGCTGAGGGATGCAAGGCTGGCCTCCCCCAGCTGGTACACCCAGTGCACCTTTTGGTTGCGCAGAGACACACCAAGGTAGTCCCCAGTGGCCTAAGCAGCAGCAGGAAGACACAGTTGGAACTGGGACCAACCTTTTCCAACCTGCCACCCAGCCCAGCCCTCCTTCCGGCACGCCTGGTACCTCGCGGCTGCCCATGTACAGCACGAAGTGGTCTCCAGTGTTCTCTCCAGGTGTGGGCACTGCCACTGGGCTTTGCAGGTAGAATTTGAGGGCAGTGTAGGCAGCGAGGTCGGCAAGGTCCCGTGGGGCACGCAGCTGCACCCCCGAGCGCCCGTTGAACTTCATGGGCACCTTGACCTGGGGGTGCAGGCACACCGATGCTGTCTACCTGGTCTCCCAGGTCTCACTGTCCCTACCTAATCCCTAAGGTGAAACTCCTACCCACCTTGCTGGCGGCACCCCGGGCCTGGGCAATGAGCTCCCTCACGCGGCCGATGCTGGCAGACAGGGCCAGGCTGGCATTGTGTGCCCCACGGTTTTCCAGGAGGCTCAGTTTGGCCAGCAGCTGTGGAAGTGTCTTCTCCAGGGTAGACACTATGGAGAGTGGGGACTGAGTACCTCCCCTCCCCTCCACTGCCCCGCAAGAGTGCTGAGGACCGCAGCTCACCTGAGCGGCCTGCGTCAAGCACCACCTGGTTCAGATCCTGGCCCCGCAGGCCCCCAAACTGGCCCTGCCACTGCTCCAGGTTCTTCTGCATGTCCTCAACTTGGGAATTCACACGGGCAGCCATGCCCTGGGCTTCAGTGGCCACGGTCTTGGCATGGGCAATCTTTTCACTTGTCTCATCTGCAGCGGGCAGAAGATGGGCTCAGCAGGGGCTGGGCAAGAACCATTCTGGCTCCATGTCCCCAAGCCCCTCCACTACACCAGCAATGGGGACTCCAGGCTCCATAGATCATGTGTCCCATACCCATAGCTCAGTGCAGTCAAAACTGGTTGTTGGCAGCCCACCAGACGCCCCCTCCAGCTCAGAAGTCCCTCCCACCACCTGGGCCACAGTCATCTCCCAGGCCTTTGCCCAGGCCTCTGAAACTCAAGTCCAGCTGACCCCTGGTCAGACGGCATCCTCCTTTGCTCTGAGCCCTCTCTGAGTAGCAGCCATGATCCTCCCCAGCAAGGCTTCACCTCCAACCATACGGGCCCCTCTTCAGCCTCTGCACTCACTGACCAGCTGTTCCCTCCCAGAGATGCCCGTCTGTGAGTGAGAAGCTCCCTAGGGCTCTTCCTCCCTGTGCCTTTACTTCCGTCACAGCACTTCTGAGGCCACTGTGTTGGTGTCTGTGTCCCTGGCTAGAGGCACGACCCCAGTGAGGCCATGCTAGGCCCCAGCATTTGGCCCTGTGCTGCCCACCATGGAGTCTCCTCAGCTACACTGGTCACAGCAGGGCCTCAGCAGTCACACGTGACCAGCACTGCATTCCAATGGCATAGGTGGGACATATGTCTACCATAGCAGGCAGGCAACGGTAGGAACACGCCTCCACACACCTGTGTCCATGGCCAGCATAGCCTGCACCTCCTGGATCCGGGCTGCCAGCTGGTCCTTCTCAGCTCGGATGTCTCGGAGCTGGATCCCAGCACCCTGCAGGGTGACCCGCGCTGCGGAAGAGGCAGCTTCAGCACAAAAGAGCCTCCCCAGCCCTCCTGATCAAGGCCATGGACGGACAGAGACACCAGACATGAGGTCCTCAGCTTAGGCCCCCTGTGGGCCTTGGGCCTAACTACAAGGCATGGCAGGCCTGGGGAGCAGAACTCACACAGGGCAGTCGCCTCCAAAGCCCACTTGATTCCCACCCTGAACCACATGGGAACAACCAAAGACCCCTACGTGATGGAGCCCAGAGACCAGAGTCTCTGAAAAGCCTGGACGCACCCACAAACCCAGCACTCACCAAGGCCCAACTTCCGCTGCTGCCCAAGGACGGCCTCCTCCAGGTCACTGCTGTTAGCCAATAGCTGCTGGGCTCTGGCTGCCAGGCCCCGCCTCACCACCATCTGCAGACGTGAGAACGGGATGCCTCACTCTGCCAGGGGAGGCAGGCAGGTAGGGCTCCCAGGGCCGAGGGACTGTCAGAAACTCACCTCCCATGTGCGACTTGCCTGCTTCTGGGCCTGGCCAGCAGCATCCTCAGCAGCCTGCACAGCCTGCAGGATACTGCTGTAGGCGTTGGAGGCCTCCACAGCCCTCTGGATAAAGCGATCCTGATTGACACTGAGGATGATGCTGTGTGGTAGAAGGGTGAGTGGTAGGGTCAAAAGTGTGCAGGTGAAGAAGCCAGACACCTTAGCCTGGCTTCTGGTACCCTGCCATCACGGCACATGGTACATCTGGCCTGTCGATCAGGTCCAACCTCCAAATCTTTGTACTTTGCCCTGCTCCTCTGTCCACTGCTCCTTTCTGGGCCCTGACTGCCTGTGGGGATGAGGAGGGCCTAGCTCCTTCGGAGACAAAGGGTTCTCCTTCTAGGGGCCCTCCAAGAGCAGCCTGACTGCATTTGTCAGGGGCTGTGCTGCATCCCTGGGGTGGATCCAGGGCCCCTCTTCATTGGGCCACACACCTGGACAGGTTGGGCGCCAGCTGGTCCAGTTGCCGTGCGTGGGCCTCAGCGGCCTCTACCAAGTCCAACTTGCTGCCGGCCGGGGAGAAGGCCCGTATCTTCTGCAGCAGGGGCATCTGAGCCCCATCCAGGCTGGCAGCCAGGTGCTCCAGGTCCTGGGGGATTGTGGTGGGTGGGCTTGGTTTAGTGGGAAGCACCTCCCAATCCTACTCACACCCACCTGACTTGGGACCCCAAGGGCTGCACTTAGCATGCAAGTCGGGGAGCTGGCTGGGCTCACCTCCTTGGCCTGGTCTACGCCACGCAGAAACTCAGAGGCCCGGCCCAGGGTGCGGCTGGCAGCCTGAAGAGTGCCTTTCAGGGTGGCATTGTCCCGGGACAGCTCCCGCTTCCGTTGCTGAGGGCAGAGTTGGGGGTGGGGTGGGAACAAAGAGGGGTCACCGGGTAAGAGGTGTGAGTACAGGGTGCAGACTGGGAGGTAGGGGAGGGTGGAGGGCGAGAGGGAGGGTGGAGGGGAGGGCAGAGATGGGGAGGCGTGGTGGGGAATGCAGGCAGCTGAGGCGGGGGTGCCCTCACCAGGGCTTCCTCCACCAACTCCTGGTTACGGCTATTGAGCTCCTCAGCCTCCCGTGTGGTGTTCACTGCCTGGTTCAGGGCCTCACGCAGGTCCATCAGGCCAGCCTCATACTGGGCCAGTTGGTCACGGGTGCTTGTGGCCAGTGCCCGGTTTTCCTCCCAGCGGCTGGTCAGCTGCTCCTGCACGCGGGTCAGCACTGTCAAACAGCAGGGTATAGGGATGGTCACTCTCGCTGCCACATCTCTTTGTGATCCCTCCTCCCGACCTGGCCCGTGCCTGGCCCTCCAAAGCAGACCTGGAGCCAGTCCAGCCCAGCCTCAGCCCTGGGGGTCCCAGGTCACATCCCTGCCCCTTCCCAGCTCTGCTTGAGGGGTCAGCACCACTCACGCCTCTGGGCCTCGGCCCGCTCAGCTTCTGCCACTGCCCGGGGGGCTCCCAGGTCACGAGCCCGAACCTCCCGGAGCAGCCGCTCCACTTCTGCCAGTGTCCGGCGCAGCTGGTCACCCGATGGGGTCGAAGCATTGGCTGGAGACAGGTGGCCCATCTGGGAGGCTAGGTCTGCAGGGCAGTGAATGGTCAGGGTCTGCTGCTGGGCAGACTTCTGCCCCTGGGCCTCCAGCCTGAGCTCCCCTGGAGCACTTTCAGCAGGCCATCCGCATATAACCCAGAAGTGCTCTGGTGGTTCCCAGAGCCCCTGGTCTGAAGGCCGTGGCTGCTCTTTCCATCTGTGTCCTTCCCCTCCTGCAGTCCCACCACGACACCCCTTCCTGCCCCTCCTGCTTGCGCAATTCGGGCTCACTGGCCAGAGCATAGCTGAAATTGCACTTTCTCTCTGATCCCGAGGCTGGGCCAGGTCCTGATATATCAGCTCAGGGAGCCCTAATTTCTTCTTGGTCATAGTTTTTAGATCGTGACTAAGGACGCTGTGAGTTGAAATATCTAGCCAGTGTTTTCCTGCAGGAGTGGATGAATGTCAGCCCATCTCATGGGATCCACCTAGACTTATGCCCTGGCCGAGCCGGCCCCTTGCCCATGTCCTGACCACTCACTCTTCACTCCAGAGGTGCCATACCCCATCTAAACTCACTCTACCCTGCCGGCTCTTCAAGGCCAAGCTCAGATGGAGACTCCTAGCAATCCCTGCCTCCCACCTACCCAACAGGAAGCCCTCCCTGCTGACCCCTCAACACGAGTCACCCCTACCACTCAAGGCACGGTCCACAGCCCGGACGGTCTCCAGCACCATCTGTGCCCGGCCCAGTGTAGCCTCTGTGCTGTCCAGCAGACGACCTGCCTGGTCTCGGGCCCCGGTGGCCTGTGGATGCAGTGCCCTTCAATCACAGCCAGCACGGGGGAGGGGGAGGCATGAAAACGAGTGACAAGGCATGGCCTGGGCCCCAGGGTAGCCAGAGAGCACAGGGGGTGGTGGGGTGGGGGGGGGATGTAGAGCGTTTGAAGATGTGAGAGGCTCTACATGAGGAGTCTCTGGGGAGTTTCCAGGGGTCAGGGTCTTCTGGGAGGAGGAGCACCCAGGGTGCTTGGGGCAGGGGTCTTGCAGGGTCCTGCCTGATTGCCCAGCTGCTGTGAGTCTTGCTCGAGGCTCGTGCTCTGCCGTTCCAGGGTCTGCAGCCTCTGAGTCATCTCGTGGCGGGGGTCTGCTGGGCCCCGGAGCTGGCTCTGTGGGAAGCAGGAGGTGAGCATCTGAGGAAGGTGGGTGGGGAGGGCAGGCGGGGCGAGAGGTACCTGCAGGTCAGTGATGGAGGCGTTCAGCCTATGCAGCTGTGCCCAGGCCACAGAGCTGGCGTTAATACCATGCAGCTGCTCACGGATGGTGGGGAGGACAGCACCAGCCCGCTCAAGGTCATCCAGGAGTAAAACCACACAGTGGTCACACACTAAAGGCATGAGGGGACAGTGAGGGGTCAGTATGGGGTCATGGGTCAGCACAGGGACCTTGGGTTGTGGGGATAGGGCAAGGTTTAATCAAGGAAGTGGAGTGAGCATGAGGCCAGGGGTCTGGAGGTCAGAGAAATGGGGTCAGTGTGAGGGGTCACAAGACTAAGAGCTCTTGGGGTCAGCACAGGGGTCATGGGGCTGGCACGAGAGACTGGGCTGAAGATGTCAAGGTAGCAGTGGGTAGAAGCTAGCATGGGGGGATTCTAGGGTCAGCAGGAGGCCATCATGGGGGTCAGGAAGGAACTGGGTGGACACCAGAAAGCCAGCCTGAGATCTAGTGCACACGTGACTTCAGGCAGGGTCCAAGGGCAATGGGGCCAGCAGAAAGGGGTCAGAGGAGTCATGGGATCCACAGGAGGATAGATATGGGGTCCCCCTGGGAAACTGAGACAGCTGGGGCCACTCGGGGTCCAAGGTTAACAAGGGTCACCTCTTCCCCTCGAGTGAAGCAGGAAGGGTGGGGTGTGACAGAAGGCTACAGAGAAGGCACACCTTCACAGTGGACGCCACGGCCCCCCGGTCCACCTGGCACAGGCACATGGTGCTGCTGGCTGCACGTGTCACAGCGCTCCCCACTGAGCCCCGGGGGGCAGGTGCAGCGACCCGTGTGCGGGTCACAGTGGCCTCCCTGGCATTGGCAGCCTGTGAAGAGTGGGACAGTAACATGGCCTCTGGCTGAGACAGACCTGCCATTCCATGCTGCCCACCTGCCCTCCTGTGGCCCTGCTTATACTCACGTCTGCAGCCCTGCTCCGGGAACCCCCAGTGGCCGGGGGCGCACTCGCGGCACTGGGGTCCTGAGGTACCTGGTGGGCAATGGCACTGCCCACTCTGGGGGTGGCACCCAGAGCCCTCAGCAGCCGGTCCACAGGCACAAGGGCGGCAGCCCTGACAGTGCTCGAAGCCAAAGTGTTCTTCCTACGGCACAGGCTGCTGTCACGCCCTGCCCAGCCCCACTTCCTCCAGCCCTGGAAACCCAGACCCCACCAAAGCAAGCCCCCCTGGCCCAACCCTCCCAGGCCCACCCCGTCCCTAGCCCTCCTAGGTCCCCCCAGGCCTGGAGTCTCCCTACCAACCTACCTGGCAGCGGTCACAGCGCTGCCCAGTCACACCTGCCTTACACAGGCAGCGCCCACTCTGGGGATCACAGGTCTCTGTCCCACACGGGGAGCAGTCGCACCCTGCAGAAGGGGGCTGCTGTGATAACTGCCCGAGGTCAAACCCCAGCCTGCCACTTCTCACTGCCTTTCCTGCTCTGTCTGGTCCAGGCCTCTTGGAGCCCATAACTGCTACCTCCCCGCAGCCCTGATGGACATTTCTTGACCATTTAGTCTGGGTGTGGGGTCTGACCATGATGGGGAAGGAGCCTGGCCACTAGTCCTGCTGGACCACAGCAACAGCAGTGGCACACACTCCTGTTCTTGGGTACACCCAGCGCTCCCACCCCTGCCTACGGGTGCAGTTGCCAGGCAGCAGGGCGTTGCCATAGAAGCCGGGGGCACAACTTTCGCAGCGGGGCCCGGTGGTGTGGCGCAGGCAGCCACGGCAGACGCCTGTCAGAGGGTCACAGTCGCTGAAGATCATGTTAGGGTCGCCATTGCCACTGCAGTCACAGGGCTGGCAGGAACTGCCCAGCACCATAGGGTTGCCAAAGAAGCCAGGCGCGCATCTGGGGTGACAGCAAGGGGGAGGGGACAGTCAGTGTCTGGTGGCCCCACACACAAGTCCCCTGGGATCTGCACTCTGGCCCACCCTCCCAGCTTACCGCTCGCAGGAGGTCCCAGCATAACCCGGTTTGCACAGGCACTGGGTGCGGCCACCTCGCAGGATGCAGCCGTCTGCAAAGCTGCAAAGAGGCAGTCGGTCACTCTACACCTGTTCTCCCTGGCCCTGAGCCAGGGTGCCTGTGCTCAGTCTGATGGGCCCACTCTAGCTGCCCTGGGCTTCCAGGGAGGCAGTCTGAACCCTCCAGCCGCCAAAGGGGGGGACACTCCAGGAAGGGGACTGTCAAGGGGATGGGCATGATCAGGGAGGGTCTCCACCCAGGAGGGCTGGTCCAGCTTACTTGTTTGAGGGCACTGGCTGGGGGCAGGGGCAGCTGACACAGGGGGCCGTGGGGTCCTCAACCCCGCTGCTCACAAAGCCGGGCTGGCAGCGCTCACAGTGGTCCCCCTCTGTGTTGTGCTGGCAGCCCTGGGCAGAGCAGAAGGAAGGTCAATGCTGACAATAAACAACTTCCCTCTAGTTCCCTGCACACTAGGTCTCAGTTTATCTGGGGCCCTGGGATCTTTCTTGGCCTGCCTGTCCCTGCCTTTGGTGGCTGTCCAATCCCTACCAGGCTCTACTTACCACACAGATGCCAGAGCCAGGGAGACAGCGGTCTGAATGGCCATGGCACTGGCAGGGTACACATCGACCCAGAAAGAGCCCTTTGATGTCCCGATAGTAGCCAGGGGCACACTCCTGCGGGAATGCGAGAGGGTGTTAGTGACGGAGAAAGGAGGCAGGGCCAGCCCAAAGTTGGGCAGACCAGGGAGGCTGCTCATGGTCCATCCCTGGGGGTCCTGCCTTCCCTCAGCAGGGGTCAAAGGCTGCAGAGAGCACATGCCCTGGAGCACGGGCACTGCAGAGTCAGAGGCCAGGGCGCGGTGAGGAACTCCTGGCCATGAGTAGCTGGAGGCCAAGGGTTGGGCTACTGGCCTCCAAGCCTAAGGACACAGTTCCCAAGCCACGTAGACACCACAGCTCACAAATGGCCAGCAGTGAGTGAACAGCAGGGCAATGCAACAGCTGACCAGCAAGCGGGCTTGCAGGGCAGGGGCAGGAAGACACAAAGCGGGTGGGGGCAGAGATGGGGATGGGGTGCAGATGGGTGCCATCAGAACCAAGCTTGAGAGAAGGAGGTCCAATGAGGGTAACACCATGGCCTAGCACCCCTCCATACCTACCTGGCACGAGTCCCCACGGTAGTTAGCAGGGCACATGCACAACTCCACATTGCTGGCGGGAGGTCCCCTGCCTGCCTCACTAGCTACCTCCAACACCACCCTCCGCAGGGAGACAGCTGAGAGGTCTGTGAGAAGAGGGCACGGATCTGCACTTGCTCCAGGCCTGCCAGAACCATCATGAGCTCCTCACGGGACACAGCATTGTGGGTCTCAGTGTGCCGGAAGTTTCCCTGCAGGCCAAGACAGGATCTCGGTGGGGCCACATTCAATAGGGTAGAACAGATCCTCACGTAGGACAGGGACATACACTGACCACACAAGCAGGAGGTTCCAGTCACCTGTGGACCCCTACCTCATGCCACATACCAAAGTCAACTCCAGGTGTATTAAGAATTTAAACGTGCAAAGAAAATAGTTTATGCTCTTAGAAGAAAATACAGGTGAACGCTTTTGACCTTGGAGAGACAAGCTCTCTGAAGACACAAAAACACTAATTGCACAAGAAAAACTGATGAACTTGAGTACATTAAAGGGAAAAACAGTTCATCAAAAGACACTTCAGAGAAAGAAAGGATGACCTACAGATGGAAGACAGAAGCCTCTGACAAAGGCTGTGTCAAGAATAAACTGCCCTGAAAAGGTCAAAGAGAGATGGGTAAAAGATAGAGGACGGGGAAAGGGATGAAGGAGAGCGGTGGAGGGGGTGAATTCTACTATAATGTATTTGATATGTTGTAAGAACTTTTGTAAATACCACAATGTACCTCCAGCACAATTAAAAAAAAAGACCTACAATGAAAAAAATACAACAGCCTATCTTATATCCTTAACATGGTGTTTTAAGATGATAAACTTCAGTTTAGAATTTTGTTTCAATGTAATTTGATATTGCTGTATAGAGTCTTATCAAACTAGTTCTTTCAAGGTTAGCTCATGTAAATAGTAAGCCAATCCTCAGAGTTTCTTTTTATTTTCTTGCAGTACTGGGATTTGAACTCAGGGCCTTCACCTTGAGCCGCTCCACCAGCCCTATCTTGTGAAGGGTTTTTTTCGAGATAGGGTCTCATGAACTATTTGCCCAGTCTGCCTTCTTTGAACTGCGATCCTCCTGATCTCTGCCTCCTGAGTTAGCTAGGATTACAGGTGTGAGCCACTGGTGCCCAGCTAGACTTTCTTCTTAATCCATCTCATTCTTACTGTGTCCATGCAGTGTACTTAACCAAAGAAGAAACAAACCTTGCTCCACAGATCACAGACCTACCTGCATTTTCTGGCAATATTAATCTCATAGTTATATTCACAATAAGCATAATGAATTAATTGTATATGCATCAAAAAAATTTACAGAGGAGCAGCTCACAGGAGGGAGTAAAATGGCCACTGAGCAGCAGGAAGCCATTCAGGACTCACCACTGTGATCAGAGCTTTGCAAACCAGTGTGTGGCAAGGTAGTGTCACATTTATGGGATGACAAGAAAGGAAGCCCTCCTGCCATTGGCCGCCTCCTGCTGTTTTCCATTGTGGAGAGTGGGCCCAGCAAACCTGAGCCTCTTGGACTGCGCTGAGGTCCAGGCAGCTCCACTCACCTCCACCAGCTGCAGCTGCCCACGGTGAACATGGCCAGGTGCAGGGTAGGACGGCTCCAGGAAAGTGATGCTCATCTGGTTCCCCTGGGGAGACACATAGGCCAGGTTAGGGCTGGCAACTGGGTTGGTCTGCTGTCCCAACTGGCCACGCCCACCCTCCCACCCTGCCATGTCCACTCCACCCTGCCACCTGTAGCACCACGTCCGGCCTGCTCTCAGTGGGGATGAAGACATCTCCGCGTTGGGTCTCCGAGTGCAGCTCATAGCGGAGAGTCCCACCATAGGATGACACCTGGAGTCAGGACAGTAGGAGGCAACCTGGCTAGACCCTAGCCACAGGCCCAGGGTCTGATGGCAGTGGCCTCATCCCCTCCCTCTCTGGAGCTGGGTGTGGGCACCCTCACTGGTTCTTTCTTCTACAATAAGCCTGCAGGGGTCCTGGCCACTTTCTCACCAAGCTCCTTGTCTCTGGACATCACCTTACCACCACTCCCAATCCTCAAGGGGAATGGTCACCCTCAAAGTAGGGTGCCCCACACCCAATGCCCTCATTTACCCGGTCCCCGAGGTAGGATGGCGGGGCCTGCCAGTACAGCTCAGGGAAGCCGTCAGCAACGTGCCGCAGGTCTGCGTAGAGCAGCTCCAGTTCTGCCCGCCGCTCGTGAGGTACCACCTGTCGGTCGCTGCTCAACAGTGTCCATCCCTCCATGTCCACAAACTGTGGGTACACGGGTGAATCTCACAGGGTGGGTACCTACTCACTGTGGCCCTATCCCTGCTGGGTAGGGGCAACATGTGCCCATCCCAAGATGTCTCCAGCCTCAGTCCCAGGCCCGGGGCAGGGTACCTCGTGACGGGCATGGGCCGAGCTCCTGCAGCGCTCTGTAGCCCCAAAGCAGAAGCAGCGGGTACAGCCCTTAGGGTTGGTGGCATCGAGGGAAAAGGTCCCCAGGCGACACTGGTCACACCTTGGGCCCTGCACATTTTCCTAGGGGCAGTGGGCAACCATGGTCAGTTGGCTGTGTGCTGGGGGCCTGACCCTTGTTCCCAGAGGCCTTCAGGAAGCCCCGGCCACCCAGGAACACTGCCAAGGACATCTCAGCTGAAAAGATGGTGCGAGAAGGGCACCTGGACACGGGCCCTGCTCACCTTGCAGTGGCACTGGCCTGTGAGGGGGTCACACACACCAGGCGCGGTGCCTGCTTTGTGGCAGTCACAGGGGCGGCAGCTGGGGTAACCGTAGAAGCCTGGAGCACAGGTGTCACAGCGGCGCCCAGCCACGTTGGGTCTGCACCTGCCAGTGGGCAGCGGCTATTGGAGCCTCTTTCACCAATGGGTCACCAGCAAAAGCAAGAACCCACAGGGTTCCCATCACCCCCACCCCCAGCGTCCACCAAGAACTGAAGGGGGTGGGGTAGGCGCCAGACATCTGTCCCTGACCCAAGACCATCCAACGCTCTCACTTGCACTGGCCGCTGTCCATGTCACAGGTGGGGTCGGTCAGCTCCTGCACGCCAGGTCCTGAGCAGTTACACTCCTCACACCCGACCAAGGGGTGGCAGCCGAAGGTCTGGGGCTGGCAGACCAGGCAGTCAGGGGGGATGGTACGTGGTGGGCAGATGCACTGGCCAGTGAGTTCGTCACATAGGCGGGCACCACAGTCACAGGCTGTGCGGGCAGACATCACTTCTGACTCTTCCACCCCACTCAGCCCCAACTGCGGCCCTTAAGGATGTGGGACCCCTACCCTGGTTACACCCCACCCAGGCCCCTGCACTTTGGGGCAGCTCCTCTGATGTGGATGAATCAAGGTCCAGGTGCCAGGGGTTGCAAACTACCTGCTGGCTCTCAGAACCTTTTGATCAACCCTACAAGACTGGCATGGTGCACACAGGCCGCTAGCTGCCTGAGGTCCACAGACAGGAGGTGGCAGAGCTGGCTGGCCAACCACACTTCCGGGTGCACCCTGTCCCCCAGGAAGTGCCCCTTGGGATCTACACGCAGGTCCTGGTGCTCTGAATACTGGGATACTCACGCCTGCAGTTAGGAAAGCCCCAGTAGCCGGTGGCACAGCGGGAGCAGTCACGGCCGATGACATGGGCCCGGCAGGGACACTGGCCCCCAAAAGGCTCACACGTGGAGCTGGTGGCACCAACCTCGTGGCAGCCACAAGGCCGGGCCCCATTATTATAGAAGAGAGAGAGGGAGATGGCAGCACTCCGGCAGAACAGGGACGAGCTGCTGGGACTACATTGAGAGGCAGGTGGTGAGGCCAGCTCCTTCCCTGGCCCCCTCCCTGGTCCCCCAGCCCAGTCTTGATCCAGCCCACCTTATATGATAGCCATGGGTGGCACAGTGGCTGATGAAGTCATAGGATTTATCCAGAGGTTCCTCCCGCAGGTAGCTAGGGCTGTAGGTATCCTCGGGGACCACCAGCACATAGTCCTGGGGAACAGGAACTGGTCACCTTCCTGTAGGCCCGGCAAAGGGCCTTGTTGGGCAAGCATGGCCAGAGCCTGAAGGCAGGAGTGGAGAACTGGGGCAGTCCCTGACACTGGCTAGGGCTGGGGCCCAGCATGTAGCCCAGACTGTGTTGGTGGCAGTACCCCCTGGTCCTGGCCTGGTACCTGGGCTGCTCAGAAGGGAGGTGGCCAGTTTATGGCTTTGAGCAGTATGAGATGAGAGGCTATGAGTACCACCAAGCCTTTGGTGCTTGCTCACGCCTGCCTGCTGCTCACGCCTCCCTCCTCCCTCTCCACCTTCCAGGCCCTGCTTCCTCTAGGAGGCCATTCTCATAGAGTGAGAGGCCAGGAGGGGCAGAAGCTATGCCATTTGGCACCTGGCATGAGAGATCACAGCAGGCAGGGGATATACCCTGACTGAGACCCACAGTGGTGTGACAGGCTTAAGGACAGCCAGTCTCCAGCAAGACACCAGCCCTGGGACTCACCAGCCAGAGCCACCGGCCCTCAGGCACACGCACGGTCACAGTGAGCTCATTGTCTGTCACATCCAACACGGCCCGGCCCTCACACAACACCAGGGTGCGGCAGCCATAGCCATGTGGGCAGAAGCTGGCATTGGCGTGGCCTGGAGGCAGAAAAAAGACAGGGTCAGAGTCTCCAGTGCTGACCACCCCTGGCTCCACTGACTGGAGACACCAGAGGCGGGAGAGGGAGGGATGCAAATGGGCAGGTCTGATGCCAAGGAATGTACACGGTGTCACATGTCACTTGCACTGGACCTTCCTGCTGAGAGCCTGCAGGCCCCCTGGAGGCCAAGCCCCCTCAGATTTGGGCATCAGCCGTGGCCACACAGCAGCACATCTGGGTGCAGGTGGCCAGGCTTGGCTGAGTGTCCTGCAACAAACGTTCGCCTCACATGTGTGGCAGAATTGAGCCAAGAATCACACTGAGCGGCACATGAGCAAGGACAAGACTCCTCTCGGGGGGGCCGGTGAGGCATGTAGAGTGAGAACAGACAGCAGGCCAGGCTGTGTCCCCATCACTGTGGTGCACATAACTTGGCCGTGTGTGTCACAGCCACTCACCCTGCCAGACACGACCCCCATTGATGAGGACCTCCACAGGGAAAGTGGGGTGGGCTGGCTGGTAGCCGTGGAGCAGAAAGGCGTAGCGGCCCAGGGTAGGCACCTGGGTAGTGAAGACCACAGTGCCCTGTAGGGAGAGGCTCCAGTGAGCAGGTGGAGGTAGGAACGCCAGAGATCTCCAGCAAGTCCCCCACTGTTTGCTTGGACCACCTGCCATGGATGTCAAAGGGTAGGGGCCCAAGAGTCCTGCCTGAGCCACCTGTCCCTGCAGAGGCCATGGCTTGGCCTGGGCCCTCACCTGGGGGTGGCGCAGCAAGGTGGGCTCTGTGTCGGGGTCCACAGCAGTGGGGGGCCGAGGCTGGGGTCCAGCTGGGGGTGCACCTGGGGTGAGCTCCTGAGAGCGGGTCAGAGGGAGGCTGGGAGGCAGTGGCAGTACCAGACAGTCCCTGAGGGTGATGGGCTGCGGTGGCTTCGGGAAGCGGGAGGGCAGACATGCAGCACTGGGAAAAGCACCAGGTATGAGTCCAAGCCATCCCGGCCAGTCAGTCCCTGCCAGCCATCCAGCCCCTCCCATCCCCACTACCTGCTAGAGCCAAAGGTACCATGGCTGCTCACACAACGGACCCGAGGCTCCACGAACTCCATGCTGAACTCCTCCACAGGCACCAGGGTGACAGTGTGCTGTGGGCAAAGGGACCAGATGTAGCTGAGGACGGGAGGTGCGGGCAGGGCAGGGACAGCTACCACACAGTCCAGACCCCAGGAGCCCACCTAACAGGGCTCTGCCTTCTGTGTGAAGACCAGCCTTGGATATGGAAGCAAGTGAATGTTTCTGAGGCCTGGCACCTAGCCTGGCTCCTCACCGTACTCTCCTCTCTTACATGTGCTTAGAACCCACTGGAAGAAGTTGACCCCAGAGGGCAAGCAGTCAAGGGGCCTCACCAGGAAGAAGTGTGCCTGTTCAGCTGTGAGCCGGATGCTGGCTTCAGAGCCCAGGTAGAAGGCGGCCAGGTGGTGCTGTGTGTCCAAGGCAGAGCCCCGGCACAGGGTGCTGAGGAGAGGGACAGTCAGTAGGTGAACAGCCCTGGGCCAGGCCCTCCACACCAGCACCAGTCCTGTCCCAGGCCCACCTGTATGGGCAGGGGTGGAGGGTGAGCGTCCCTTGCTGGGGGGCTTGGTGGGGGGTGTGCACAGCCACACCTACTTCCTGCTGAGTATCCTCATTGGCGTATTCCACCACCAGGGCATAGCGGCCTGGCCGAGGCACAGCCACCTGAAGCTGAATGTCCACCTGGGGGACGACAGGGTTACTAGAGGCCAGTGCTCCCCATCTTTCCCAGGTCCTGGTGCCTGTGGCAGCTCCAGGCAAGAGGAGGGCTGACCTGACTCACAGAGGGAGCAGAAAGAACACTAGGCAATCTCTTCTTTACAGACAGCTCAAACAGGGACAGCAGTGGCCAGGCCAAGCTGGGTGGTAGCTGTGCATGCAGTCTCCATGGTCCAGCAGCCTTGCCCTGCACCTATGTCCTGTCACTGAGGACCCCTCCCCCAGGGCTAAGGTCCCCCAGCATCCACCCCTCTCTGGACCCTTGGACACGCACATCACTGCCCAGGCAGGCGGCCAGAGGCGGGTGTGAAGGGCTGAGCTGCTCCAGAGGGCAAGGCCGGGGCAGGCTGTTGTCGTAGCGACATAGGGCCTCAGGACCAGCTGCTGAGGGGAAGCCATCCAGAGGAAGGTGGGCGTGGAGGAGACAGCTGGGAGACAGAGGCTGAGGTCAGCAGCAGGTCCACTCAGCACTCAAGAGCCAGCCCTTGGAGGCTGCCTGGGCAGTGGGGGTTCAAGTGGCCCCCAACCCATCCCGCATGGGTCCTCACTTCTCTCCAAAGTGCTGCACAGATGGCCGGTAGGTACAGGACTCGGTCACTCGAAGCTGTAGGAGGGCTGCCTCATAGTAGGCACTGGGCAGCAGAACCACATAATCCTGAGGGAGATGGGAGGTGGGTGCTGAGGCTCCTCAGCCCAGGGCCTGCCCCCACCCGCCATGGTCCCTGCCTCACCAGGAGAACCCCTTCAGCCTCAACGAACAGGGCCCAGACTCCAGGATTCAGCACAAAGGGCTCCCCGAAGCCCCGCTGGGGCACAGTGACAAAGGTGGGCTCGGTGCTGGGTGGGAAAGCCACCAGCTGGCTCTGATCTGTGCCTGGGGAGGGGAAGGAAACTTCTGGCTCAGCCCTCAGGCTACCCCAGGCTGCACCTCCCCGACGTTGAGTCCAGAGGACGTGGCTGGGGCAGGAGGGAGAGGGGTGCAGGGTGTGCTGGGGAGGGACGGGGCAGGGCGAGGCAAGGAAGGCAGCCTCCCACTCACAGTTGGTACAGGCGGCAAGCTTGGCCTCCTCTCGCATGGAGACCTGCCCACTCACAGTCATGGACCCACGGTTGACATATCGGAAGACCAGCCGAAACAGGTCAGGGGAGGTCACGTTCATCCTGGCCACAATCCTGGGCTGTGGTAGACATGAAGGAGCGAGCTCACCTCTCTGGCCATTTCCAGCCTGGGGATCTGTGACCCCAAGGGGCTGCCTGCTCTGCTGGCCACACCAGAGCCACTGCCAGCGCCAGTTCTACACAAAGTGCTGGCAGGGGTAGCTCAGCTCACCTGGATGGGTGACATGTGTGCGTAACCCCTCCAGCTGAAGTTCTCAAACTCTAAAGGGTTGAAGCCAAAGCGGACAGCATGGCCCTCAGGAGTGGTCGCCTCCTCCAGCTCCAGCCGCAGATGGTGCAGGTCTGGCAGGTAGTGGTCCCTCGCTGGCCTGCCACAGCACAGGTGTCTGGGTGGGGCAGGCACTTGGCCCTGCATAGCCACCCAGATCCCTAGGGACGACCAGGTCCCACATGTGGGCCTGTGGTAAGGGACATGGGGGAGCCCTGGACATGCTGTCCTCCCACCCTCAGCCCGACCAGTGTGGGGTACCCACTCGCTGCAGGTGAGGCCCTGGGTGTTGGGGCGGCACCGGCAAGCACCAGTCCTTGGTTCACAGCCCTGGCCCAGTGCACCACCAATATCACACCGGCAGCCTGTGGCAGGAGGAAGCGAGTTCAGACTGCCCAGTCCCCAGCCTTGGGTGTCCCCTCCCACAGTCCCCCAGCTCAGGACCTCACAGGTAGGCCCCTGACCTCCATCCACCCTTGGTGGAGAACAAGAGCTGAGAAACCAACTTTCACCTGCTCTCTAGAGTTCAGGCTAAGGGCAGGGCAGGGGCAGTGGGATGGGTTAGTGATGTCTGCAGGGAGCCCAGGGTGCAGCAAAGAACCACATCACGGCAGAAATGGCGCCTCTTCACCTCCACCCCAGCATGGACCTGGGGTACTGGTCCAACTCCTGGGCCTCACTGCACTCGAAACTCGGCTGACCACCCCCACCATGACCAGAAAGGAGCCACTGCCTATCTCACCCATTCATCCCTCCCTGGGGCTCCAGCTACCACCGAGACCTGAGACAGCAAGGACCAGGCCTGAAGGTCAGTTAGCGGGCACTTACTGCGGCAGCCGAAGTAGTCAGCCTGATCTAGCCCAAAGAAGCCGTCCTTGCATGCTGCGCAAGTCTGGCCACACACATGGGCCTTGCAGAAGCACTGGCCATTGCCCTGAGTCAGGAGAGAAAATGGTACTGGGCAGCTGGGGGGCCGGCGGGGTGGAGGTTCTAACCTGCCTGTCCCACAGCCCTGACACCTTAGCCTCAGACTCACCAGTTGGCACTCAGCAACTCCACCCAGTGTGCCTCTGGGGTCACAGCTGCAGCCTGAGGAGGGCAGAGCAGGCCTGAGTTCTGTGGGGAACAGGCGGGCCTGGGCTCCACCTACCCCCACACCCCTAACACTCCCTCCAGAGCAGACTCACGGGTGCAGCCCTCAGGGTTGCTGGGGCTCAACCCCCAGTACCCAGGTTTGCAGCGATCACAGCTCAGCCCCTCCACATAAGCCCGGCACATACAGGGGGCCTGTGCCTGGAAATGGATGAGACTGTGGGTCAGAGTGGATTCCTGCCCTCCTACTACAAGCCCTCAGCCTTGAAGAACTAACAAGGGGCAGAGGATGTCAGGTCTCTCACCTGCCCGGGTCCCATATCCAGCAGTCATCTGAACCAAAAAAAGGATCAACAGGGGGTGCAAAGGGGGCCCTGGGGTTACCATGGCAACTTGGAGGCAGACAGGAAGTCTTCTTCTCCTGGGGTTTGGGACTTGCAGCCTGGCCTGGGCCCCCTGCCCATCCCCACGCCACAGGGAGACCCGTACTCACCTCAGGGAGGGTAGGATTGGCTGGGGCCAGGCCTGCAGGGTGACAGGAGCCAACTACAGAGAGATAATTAAGCCACAGTCAGTCCCCAGTAACCGAGCCCAAAGGCCACTGGCTTTCCAGGCCCGGCCAGAACCCATGTCCTCATAGGAGCCAGCAACTGCTACCTGTGGCTCTGAGCAATGGAAAAGCACATATCTCCTTGCTCAGGCACCACAGTGCCAGAGCACACACCGTGAACACCTGTGAGTGCGTACAACACGTGGACACATGCGTGCTCACATGAACACTCACAAGGCATGCAAAGAGGTCACGTTCGGCTCACGTGTGAGCGCAGAGTATGAACCTATGAACATAGCCCACACACGTGATGGATCTCAGAAAGGTGCACAGCGTGGGAACGGCACACAGATGCACAGGGACACGGCTCCCTCTGCCTGTCCCAACCCTGGCTCACCTTCACAGGAGGGGAAGTTGTAGGCACCAGGCACACACATGTCACAACGCAGTCCTGTCACACGGGGCCGGCAGCTGCACTGCCCACTCCGGGGGTCACAGGTCGTGTGCAAAGAGCCATCGGCATTGCAGTGGCAGGCTGTGACAGGGAGCAGGGTGTGGGCATGAGGTGGGACATGTACCGCCACCCTCCGCCTCCTGCCAGGACACTCACGGGTGCAGGCGGGGAAGCCGTGGAAACCGGGGCTGCACTCCTGGCAGGTGGTGCCCGTGTAGCCGGGGCGGCAGTGGCACAAACCACCTGCCCCACAGAGCTGGTCCAGGGCTCCCTGGGGATCACAGCTGCAGGCTATGGGAGCACAGTGGGGTCAGGCCCTGGTACCATACAGTGGCCCGGCTCCTTCTTATCTCAGCCCTCTACTCACCATGGCAGTTGGGGTAACCATGGTGGCCTGGGCGGCAGCGGTCACAGTGAGGCCCCTCGAACCCGGGCCGGCATGGGCAGCGGCCAGCCTCGTCACAGCCTTCAGGCAGGGTCCCTGCAGGGCTGCAGCCACATACTGCAGAGTGGGGTGTGTCACAGAGTACCCTGACCCTGGTGGGCTAGCCCCCAGCGTCCCCAGCCACCAGGATACTACTCACGTTGGCAGAGAGGGAAGTGGAAGTAGCCAGGGGCACAACGATCGCATGCAGCCCCCTCGAAGCCCACCCGGCACCGGCACTGGCCAGAGTCAGGGTCACAGAAGCCATCAGTCACTCCAGGGCTAGAGCACTGGCATGCTTCAGAGAAGGGGGCCGAGACACACATGGTCAATGCTCGGTCAACACAGGGCACCTTAAAGATGGGTGGGGGAGCTGCACTCACCCTGACAGCCAGGGCCATAGAACCCAGGCGCGCAGAGCTCGCAGTGGGCGCCCTGGAAGTTGGGTTTGCACACACAGCGTCCCACCCGCGGGTCCTTCCGGCAGGCGTTGCCCTGAGTCCCTGCAGCGCTGCAGTCACAGTCTGCAAGAAGGGGGAGGGGGTGGCTCAGACACTCTGCAGACCCGTGTCCTCCTTGCCTGGAAAACCAGTCTTCTGCTTTTTGTTCTCACACTTTTTTCAAAAAGTACTTTCATTAGTGTGTATTAATTGTACACAGTGACATTCCCGTATGTGTATGTGATGCACTTGGATTGTATTCACCTTCTTACACTTTTTTATATGGTACTAATCAGAAAGGAGAATAAAAACCCCAGGAAGGGAGAGCTGGTGTTCTGTGGAAGTCACATACAGCGAAACCAGGACATCATAGCTGCTTTGCACTGGGTGTTCATAGACTCCAGGGGGAGCCAGGGAAACATAAAAAAAAACTCACGACAAGCTCAACAGAAGCTTCCTGGGGAGAGGAAGAGAGAACACCTTAACTGTCCTGACTTACACGTAAAAGGAACATCCTGAATTCCATTTAATGCTTGCTACTGATAGAAATAATGGTTCAATATTTCTCAAAAATATAGAGTAACCATTGGTCAGACCAGAACATAGAGACAACGTGCAACCCTGCAAAAGAGGGGTGCATCCTAGCACCACAAACAACACCCAAACCAACAGGAAACACGCTTTGTCTCTCAAACTAGCCAAAGTCAGGACAGGAAAAACTTAAGAGGAGAAGGAGAAATGATGCAGTACAGACAAGCAAAGCCAGAAGTGACAGTGTCAAGCACGAATGGTCCAGGCTGCGTTTCCTTCCTAAGACGAGACCAAAGATATTGGTGGACTGCAAGGAAGCCCCAGGGAGGACAGCCTTGGAAGCAGGGACACAGGAAGGACGGGGACAGGCAGAGCCAACATAGGTGAATGCAAGCCGTGAGCAGCAAGCTGAGGCAGGGGACGAAGAGGGATGGATGCCGCACGCACACAGCAGGCAGGAGATGGGCAAACAGAAGCTCCTAGGAGCAGGGTGCACGTGGTGCGTTAAGCTAAAACTATTCAGACTGCGAGAGGAATTCGGCAAAGCAGGTGTGGAAAGTCTGAATGCCCTGTTAGAACACCAGCTCACAGGGCTGAACGTTAAGCAAGGACAGAGTGGATTTAAATACTATAGTTAGCAAGCCTGTTCCAATATGCAGAAACTGGTACAAACAAAACAAATGTCCTATCAATGTCCACAGTACAATCTAACAGGGGTCACATTCTAGGTGAGACACAAAGAAAACATAAAACGCCAGAGACAAAAGCAGAAGCTGTCAACATGTCATCTCTGACCACAGTGCAGTAAAACTAGGCTCAGACTAACTCAGCAGGGGACAAAGAGGACCTCACCACGGGGAATAGTGACAGACACCCTCCTAAACAGCCCAGGGCAAACATGCAACTTAGAGACAATCCACAGCAGCGATGAGAACACGGCATAGCAAACCCTCGCCAGAGCCAAGCTCGGAGGAAAAGTTGTAGCTCAGGACCAGGGTTTCTTAGCCTCGCGCTACTCATTCTGGGCTGGGGTGTGGCACCCTGTGCCCTAAGGATGCTTACAGGCCTCCCGCCTCTGCCCTCTAGACAACAACAGCACCTGCCAATCATGACAACCACACGTGTCCCAGACTCAAATCAACCTTGGCCGAGATCCACTGCTTTAAACTTTTATGTTGATAATTAAGAGAGACCAAAAATAAAATATGATTCGAGAACAGATCAAAACAGCAATATCATCAAAAGAAAGCAGACAGTCAGGTGCTGGAGGCTCACGCCTGTAATCCCAGCTACTCAGGAAGCAGAGATCAGGAGGAGGATGAAGTTTCGAAGTCAGCCCCGGCAAATTCGTGAGCTTCTAACTCGAAAAAACCCTTCCCAAAAAAGGGCTGGTGGAGTGGCTCAGGGTTTCGGCCCTGAGTTCAAACCCCAGTACCAAAAAAGAATTAAATACTTTAATTTCAAATTTATTAGAAAGTAGAATCCTATCAATATACTTTGAAAACGCCAGTAAATTGATAAACTTCAGTTAGGTCTGTTCAACAGATGAAAACAAAGAAAAAAATGAAAGAAAATTGAAAATTGCATCAGAATGCTGTGTGTAACTTTAACACAATTCATTTACATATCCAAATTAAACTTGGTAGAAAGAATAACCAAAAGGTATGAAATGAGATAGAAGGTATGATAGATACCATACCACAGAAGAAATTTAAGTCACGTTCGAACTCAGGTCTTCACGCTTGCAAAGCAAGCGCTCTACCACTTGAGCCGCACCTCCAGTCCATTTTGCTCTGGGTATTTTGGAAATGGGGGTTTCAAGAACTACTTGCCCAGGCTGGCCCTGAACTGCAACTCTCCTGATCCCAAGTAGATAGGATTACAGGTGTGAGCCACTGGCACCCAGCATAAAAAAATTGAAATCTTAATCAAAGATCTCCTTTGAAAAATAGGTATCATGGTGGCACAAGTCTGTGATCCTGGCACTTGGGAGGCGGAGGCAGAAGGAAGGAAGGAAGGAAGGAAGGAAGGAAGCTGACATGCTTAGGGTCTGCTTCTAGGCAGAATGAGAACCATGGGTGGGGTGCCCGCTCACACAATGCCTGTCTCCCTTATGGATGTAGACACAAGGAGACATTTATCTTCAGCACTGGGTCCACATGAGGAAAGACAGTAAATTCACTATACAAGAAACTAATTAAAAGTGGCACACGTACAACCACAGGTAATTACTGGTGCTAGCCATGGACCTGGGAAGAAAGAATTTTCAATAGTTTACACCACTAACTGGCAAACCACAGTACATCTGGTTTTGTAAATAAAGTTTTATCGGAAGGCAGCCCAACCTACTTGTTCCAACATGGTCGGTGGCTGGCTGCAACCCATGGTGGCAGAGCCAAGGATTTTCTGGCGACCATGTGGCCCTCAAGTCAACACAATTGCTGCCTGCCCCTCTCAAAGTTTGCTGATCCCTTCGTTTACACTGTTGACGAAAATCTAAAGGTTTGGTTTTTTTTTTTTTCGTAATATTGGGGTTTGCACTTATGGCAGGGGCTCTAACCTCTTTAGCTACTCCACCAGCCGGAAAATCCTAAACATTTTGTTATAAAAGGACCCCATCCAAGAACCAGTAGATGGGAGAGATGCCAAGCATCACCCCAATGTGGCCAGTCAGAGACCAAGAACAACAGTGGCAGCTCCTCCTAAAAGCTTAGGAATTCAGCACATGACAGAAAAGCCCCTAAAAATTAAGGTGCAAACGATCGATTGGGAGAAAACACCAGCTGTAAAACGGATGAGCTGTACCTCGAGTAAAAAGAGAGAGGACAAGCAATTCCCATAAGAAAGCAGCTGAGAGGCAAAGAACACAGACCTCACAAATTAAAGACACGCAGCTAGTACTCTGGGGTACACGTATGAGCCCCGCTAAGACCCCATCCACCACAAAACAAACCACTGTCATCCCTCCTGTTCCAAAAGGAAAAACCCTGACAGCCAGACTAGGACACATCACCAGCTGAAAGATGTGCCCCAATTCCAGAAATACTAAAAGGGGGAGCCTGTCTCAGAACAGAGGAAGAGTATCTTTTGCCAAGCAGGCTGACAGCAACAGATGCTACTAGGGTGGCAATGATTCCGTCAGCAGCTGTGCAGTGGCCAGTACGCCAGCTGACTGTCATATTTTAAGACAGTAATTTGGCAACCTGTGGCCCATAGCTGCAAACATGCTTGTCTGGCGACCCTGAGCCTTTCTTTTTCTTCTTCTAGGAGAAACAAGACTTCACGCAAAGTTGTAATTGCCTGAATATTCATCATGGCATCATTAAACAGAAAAAAGAAAAAAGAAGGCGGGGGGAACCTAAGTCTCCAACAATTGGAGGTTGGTAAAATAAACGCTGTCTGTCCGTATAACATCAATCAAAGACTTGTTTACGGGTTGTGGTGAGTGAAAGACGCAGTCACTAAACACTGTGCATAGTACACATCCGTGTTTGTCAAAATGAGTGCATACAGACATGGAGTTTGGACAGCATGAAGAGAGGTTAATCGCTTTTTTTTTTTTTCCCCTGGGGTGCTGTGGATCAACTCAGGGCCCTGTGCCTGCCAGGCAAGCACTCCACCACTGAGCTTCAACTAAGAACAGAGGCCCCAAGAGGGGTTATCTGCAAGCGGTGAGACTCTGCAAAGCATTTTTCTCCAACCTTATGATTACCTATTTTTTTAAAGGTTTTCCAGTGTGACTATGCATTCTTCGTATAAAAATGTACGAACCAAAAGAAGATAACTAACGTGCAAACTCATCCTTTCTGCATGGCCTTCCGGTGGGGCTGTGCTATGGTCCCTTCCTGCCTCAGATGAGGAGGGTCCTGGAGACCTTGGGGATACTTACTCACAATCTGTCCAGCTGGCAGCACCTGCTCCCTGGTGTCATTGGGGGAGAACGGGGGCACAGCTGAGTGGAAGAGACACCAGTGTAAGCCAGGTCTGCCTGGCAACCCCTCTGGCCCCAACACCGGTAGTAGCCCTGGGTCCCCTTCCCCTGCAGGGCTCCCCAGGTCCCACAGACAGCAACACGGGGCCTCCCCACCCCCAGCCCCTGGGCTGGCCCTCACGGTAGCAGAGAGGGAAGCCTGCGAAGCCCTCAGCACACGCGTCACACCGCTCCCCAGTGAAGTTGGGCCGGCAGTAGCAGCGGCCGGTCAGGTCTTCACAAGTCCCATCAGTGAAATCGGACTCGCAGTTGCAGCCTGGGGGCGGAGGTGGAGATTGGGAAGTCACAAGATCTCTAGCACAGGACTCCGAGACAGAGCGCCTCTGCCTCCTGGATCCGAGATCCCAGGACATCCCAACCCCCTCTCCTAGGCAGGCCCTGAAGGTTGGGACCCCCATGGCCCAGGGACAACAACCCAGCTAGGCCCCACTCACGGCGGCAGACATGGGGCGAGTCGAGCGGGTGGTCTGGGGCACGGTAGAAGCCGGGCAGGCAGCGTTCACAGTTGATACCGGTGGTGTGGTGCTGGGGGACAGGGGCTGCTGAGTCCAGCCATGTCCCCAGCCCTGCCACAGATACCCACCCCCACCCGGCCACATGCAGCCCACCTGGCAGCCGATGCAGACACCCCCACCCTGGTACACATTGTCCTGGTTCTGGCTGGCATTGCGCCGGTCCACCTCAGGGTCATAGTAACAGTCGTGGGCGTGGCCATGGCAGTTGCAGGCTGGAGAGGAGGGACCCAGTGGTCAGCAAGCTGTCGACAAACCTGGGCCCCCGGGGCACATCCACCCCATGAACCATGGGTGCCAACAGGACGTGTGTGGACGTGGGGCACTCACACTGGCACTCGTTGGCACTGTCAGTGGTGGCCGGCTTCCACGGCTGCTGGTTGAAGCCGGGGCAGCAGCGGTCACAGGAACCTCCACATGTGTTGTGCTGGCAGGCACACTGCAGCCTGTGGGGGACAGAAGGGATGAGACCCAGTCCAGAGGCAGAGGGAAGGAGATGTGGTGGGTGGCAGGTCCTCAATCCCTACCTTAAAGGAGCCTGTGATCCCCTTTGGCCATCGCTGGCCTACATGTGGGTACAGGCTCCCCTGCCCTGTTTCCCTACTGTGAGGCAGTGAGGTCTTGCCCAGACACCCAGTGCCAGGGGAAGGGCCCAGAGGGGGCAGGGACTCACGATGGCATCAGTTATGTAGGGCCTTCAAGGAGAGCGGGAACTGGGGAAAGGTGTGTGTTGCTGGATGGGGTGGGACCTTGGCAGTCAGTGCAGTAGGCCTGGAGCCCTGGTGCTTCTCACCATGGCCAGGTCCTAAGCCCAATGCCTCTGGGCCAGCCTCAAGGGAAAGGGACACATTTGCTCTCCTGAGACCTGGACCTCACTTAGCAGGCAGTCCTGTGCCAGCCAGACATGCCCATGCATCCAGAGCACATCTCCAGGGGCAAGTGGCCAAGAACTGTCTCTCCCTTCCAGCTGGGGGTAGACGCCAGGGTGGAGGGCTGGAATCCTTCCTGTTATACCAGTGGGCAGGGGGCCAGCTGGTCAGCAATGAGGGCCAAGTTGAGTCACCTACTGCTCACCAGAGCCCCACCCCGGCACACGTCTCCAGCAATGCAGCTGGGCTGTGGTGGAGCCCCAGCTCCGTGCTCTGAGGCTGAAAGCTGTGTGTCTCCTGCGCAGGACCCCAGAAGCCCATCAGTGCAGATCAGAGCCTGAAATCTCCCAGTTACAGCCCCACCCCCATGGGGGTCCACAGGGCCTTGGGAACTGATCCTACTTCACCTCACAGTACAGAAATTTCCGAAAAGGCATCCTCGGTACAAAAGGAACTAGAGTACAACCAGCCACCAGCATAGGTAATTAACAAGTAGCCGTCTATCCTGACCCAGCTCTGAGGAGGGAGAGCCAGGGTCTGCAGCTAATACCTCGTTTTTAATTTTGTGCATGGCCAAAGTACCCCTAAATCAATATGGCAAGAAATTAATATGTCATGTCAGGCTGGCTGTACCTGGATGATGGGTAAAAGATCTCAAAACCACCCTCTGGAGCTCCTCCCTGTTCCAGAGTATGTGGGAAGCAGGCAGATAAAGCCCAGCTAAAGGTGACCTTGCAAAGCAAAACAGGCAGGGTCAGCAGACGCCACAAAGGGCAGAATTAAGACCCCAATTATTCCATTTAGTGGAGCAATCTGGTAGACACTGTAAAGACTGTTTCCAGTGATTATAAACGAAGGAGTCTAAAAATAGGGAGAGGCGAAAAACAGAAGTTCTAGAAGTGAAAAATGCAATTAATTATGAAATTAAAGATTCAACACATGGCTGAACAGAGCTAACACAACTGAGAGAGATTTCATGCTGCAGAGGAGCTGGGGAAGCTACCGAGAACCAGCACAGAAGACAAACAGAAAATGTGAGAAGCTACAAGGCAGAGGCAACCATAAGACGCTCCAGTCTAGGTCTATGGGAATCCCAGAGGGGGAGGCAGAAATGGGGATCACAGCTGTGAATGTCTTCACTAAGCAAGACTATTCTCAAAGAGCAGGGTCCCAAGTGACACACAACACGTCCAGTCCTCAACGCTTTCAGGTAGATCTGCAGAACACCAAAGCTCAGGAAAACATCCGGAAGAGACCAACAGCCCAAGTCACAAGGGACCCTAACGAATATCGAGAGATACTGAGAGACAGTTAAAGAATTCTCCCAAAGCACCAAGAGTGAGGGCAAACAGCCATTTTCAGACAGGACAGATGGTCAGCAACTGGAACCACCACAGGATGTGTTTCAGGAGGAAGGGGACAGAGCCCCAGGGAGGGACGAGAAGCAAGGGGTTACGGAGAACAAAGAACAGGGACCAGCGGACAGCCCTGGCATTGGAGTCAGGAATAGGGGCGGGCTCAGTGGTCTTGGGCCCCTGCGTTATTCATTTAGTCTGGATTTGGGTACGCCAGACATGCCTGTAAGAAGGCACAGGCTGACACGACAAGCAGATCCTGGAAAGAAACTTTAGTAAGGAAACCAGCCATGTGACTTCCAGCTCGAGGGGAAGGAACGGGCAGAGAGCAGGCAGCATGGTGGTGGCAGTGGTGGAGGTGGGAGCCATGGTGCAGTTGAGTGGCAGTGGAGGTGATGGGGTGAGGAGGGTTGGAGATAAAGGAGCAGAGAAGTGCCAGCTGGAGGAACAGGGCTCTCCCTCCCTGCCATGGAAGACCATGGCAGGCTGGTTTGGGGACACTGGGGCACGATGAGGCTGTGGGATAGGGTTCTTTTGGGGTTTGTGGCTCTGGGAAAGATGCCCCCCTACACCAGTCCTCATGCCTGGCAGGGTGGGCTGAGCTCCGTCTGGGCCCAGGTAGGTGTGAGTCAGGAGTGATGGTGAAACCTTTCCTAGCATGTGTTGGCAAGTGCAGCTCCTGGGCCCCCGAGGCCTTCTGTCTCCTCTGAGGCCAATTTGGCTGCCTGGCAGCTCCACTCCCAGCTGTCAGGAGCTGTGTCCCCACTCGACACTTAATTTCACAAAGCAATTTGATGGTGTCTGAAGTTATGCTGGCAGAGACCTGCTCCCAGGTGTATCCCCAAGGGCTGTGGCTCCAGGGAAGTGGTTTGTCTTTAGTCTTCTGGCTGGGATGACCATGTTGCTCATTCTTTAGACCATCAGCCACTTCTGAAGGAGGCTTGGCTTTGGCCATGAGAGTGGGGGTGAGCTTTCCATCCTACCTGAGCATCATCGGCTTCCCCTATAAATTGGAGGTGTGGGTGCAGCTAGAAGACCCCAGTGGGGACCCAAAACTTGTCCTAAATCCAGCAAGCAGGGTCAAAGGTCTTGGAGACAGTGGAAGTGGCAGGGCAAGCCTACCTGTGCCCTGCTGAGAGTGTCGGGCACTGGGTGGGGACATGGGAGCCTTGTCATGGCCCCTTTTTGGGCTCTGCTGCACAACCCTATCCTGCTCTCAGCCTGGGGAGGCCGGCGCTGCATGACAGGTTAGCTATATCCTGCTTGCCTCTCAAACAGGTGAGCCTGTACCAAGAACAGGCCTAGTGGTGTTAGGCATGCAGCTATGGGAGAGAGAGAGAGGGAAGGAAAGAGGAGGGAAGAAAGGAAGGAAGGAGAGAGTGAGGGAAGGAAGGAGGAAAGGAGGGAGCTAACATGTCCGGAATCTGCTTCCAGGAAGAATGAGGACCACAGGTGCCTGCTCCCACAATGCTAGGCTGCACTCAGCCATTTAGGCTTACTAGGGGTCCAGGTCACCAGGGGATCTAGCCTCAGGTACAAGTCATCTGATGGCAGCTGGCTCAGGGTGCTCCACTTAATCAGCTGGTTCTGGGTGGGTCTGAGGAGTACACCTGGGATAGGGCTAGGCCCAGAGCTGTGCAGACTTCTAGGAAGCAGACCCTCCACTGTCAGAGATCAGGGCCTTTGTCTGTCCCTGGCTGCAGAGCAGGGCACATCAGATGGGCGAATTCTGGCTACTCCTGCCGTGGACCCTTGTTGGGGTGAAGGTCAGAGGTAAGAGCAGCAGGGAGTGTATCTTTGTGTCCTGGGGAAGGTCAGGGGAGCTGGGGTGGGCTCCAGCAAAGAGAGTGAAGACTGCCTGGGCAGGTGTCCATCTGGAGGACACAGGCGTGCAGACGGGGGTCCATGACCTCCATCACTGATGCCTCTCCACAGCCCTGGAGGACAGGAGGAGAGCCCTTCCTCTCTGGCTGCAGGGCAAATTGCCCAGGACAGGGTATCTGGGGAGGTGCAGACAGCACAGCCTCTCCACCTCACTGTGCAGGTGGGAAACCAAGGTCCACAGAGTGGTAGTCAGTGCAGGTCCCATGGGGGAGCCAAGGTGGGCAATGTCCCCCCTAGGTGAGGCAGGGGGTGACAAGAACAGGGAAGGAGCCACGGGTCTCACCTGAAAGGGTCTGAGGGGTCTTTGGCGTCACAGACATCTGCGTGGCCGTGGCAGACACAGCGCCCACCAATGCTGATGTCCTTGAGGCTGTAATAGTACTGTACCCAGAGCCATGAGCACTGGACCACACCACCCTGACCCACCCCACTTCCAGTGGCCTCAGCCGGGGGCTTCTCCAGCAAGCCAGCTCCTTCCCACCACCCCCACCCCACGCTGAGCCAGGTCACCCGTGCTCACCCGGCGGGTGACGGTGGGGTCCCTCAGCGCCTTGCCCATGAGGTGGCCCAGCAACGTGTTAGTACGCAGGAAACGCAGCCGGATGTTGGTGGCTTTGGTGAACTCACGCAGTAGTGGCGAGTAGGAGAAATTCATGGCTCCCGGGCGCCCGTTCACCAGGGACACCACGATCTACAGATGTCATGGCCAGTAAGGCTGGGTGTGGCCACCAGCACTCAGCCACCACCCTCAGACCAGCAGGACCATAGCTGGGCTGCCCCACCCCCAGGGTCCCACCTCGCCGTTCTCCAGGGGTACTATGCGTGAGTACTCGGTGGTACAAATGACGTCATCGTCCTGCGTGATGCGCTCCAGTGTCTGAGGACCGAATCGCTCTAGACAATCCCTCTTGGAGGCTGTAAGAAATGGGCTAGAGAGTGAGGGCAGGGGTACTACAAATGTCCACAGACCCCAGGGCCCAGCAGCACGGCTCCTGCATCCTGCCTTCTCTGAGAAGGGAGCATTGTCCCCTGGCTGGGTCCCACCAGTGTTCCACTGCTCAGCAGGATTTGTTGAAGAAAGAGAGTCCTTGCCCTGCCAAGCCCAATAAGGCTAGACACGCATAGGCCACATTTAACTCATGCCCAGTTGCCGGGTCCCCTTCCTGGGGACAATCCCACACCACCCCTCCCCTACTGTTGGGTCAGGGAGTTTAGGGGACCTCTGGCCAGGCTGTCTAATCAGAGAATCTGCATCATGCCAACATGACTGGCTAGGGACTCCAGCGCTCTCCTGACATGGAGCTAAGCTGGCAGGAAGTGAACCTGTAGCCACCGGGCAGCTCGGTCACCATTGAGCTGTCTGAGTAAAGCCATTCCAGAGGAGCCAAGAGATGGCCCAGGGATTCTGGCCCCACCACCCCTACAGCAGCCATGCCCAATGTCAGGAATGTGACATGTGACACCCCTTCAGGTGGCCTGCATCAACAGTCCTGAACCACATAGAGTCTGGCACAAGGCAGGGCGTGGTGTCCAGGGACCTTGAAAGAGTGTGACAAGGGCGGCACCATTCCAGGGACACCCCAGGTCCCATGGCTCCAGAAGAACTCACAGGCGAAGAACTGCCAAGGCTGGTAGGTGTGGCCGAAGTCCGTGGACCGCTCCAGCACCCAGAGGTCCGGCCGAGGGGAGTTAGCAAACTTGATGAGTACATAGGCCACATGGAAAACCTGCAGGGGACATGAGGGTGTCAGGGTGTTGGCTCTGAGTGTGAGGAGCATAGACACCCAGCAGGAGGGCCAGCTGGGCCCATGGGTGGGGGGGGTTGCACTTTGAACAATGGCCCTTGCTTAAGGGTCCCCTTCCTGATCCTGGGACTGCCTTGGCCCAGGCCCATCCCTTTCCCTCCCCTCCCAGGAACTCGGGAGCCACATTGGTCCTTCAGGCTACAGGCAAGGCGGTATGAGGGCTGGACTGAGCACACTGGGGAGCAGCCTGCCTGCAAGTCCCAGGCAGTAGGGCTGACCAAGGAAGAAACAGAAGCACACCCAAGGTTCCCAGCTAGGACTGAAAGCTGGACGATGCCCAGCTCCCACGCCAGCCTGGCCTCCTGATGAGCAGACACGTGACATCCTCTGGGTGTGGAGCCTTACCCTGGCCACCACCCTAGGACCTACCCTTCACCTGGGGACAGAGTGGTCTGGAGCAAGTTAGGTCCCAGCCCTGCCATTAGGGGTTCCCTTAAGGGGACTGGACACCAGGCCCTCCCAGAGGAGCCGGGAGACTTCACAGCCAGGAGTCAGGGCTACAGCTTAGCTGTGGTCCTGGCATGCCAGGGCAGTCCCTGGTGGAGGGGAAGGGGAAGCTGCTTCTCCAGAGGCAGAACCCCCAAGCCCTGCCCAGGCCCAACCTGAACCTGAGGACAGCATCTAGGTTGTCCCCACATGCCTATGTCCCTGAGGGATTGTTGAGGCCCCTCCTCAGCAGCTCACAGGTCATCCTGGCTTTGGGCCTCCAGCCCCACCTAGCACAGCACTCACAGGGCACTTTGGACACTGCCTCTAGGAAGCCCTCCCTGACTGCAGCCCATCTATCTACCCTTGGTCCAGGATATCCTCCCTCCACAGACTGGTGTTACTGCTGCCCCCACTGCCCAACCTGGGCTCCACTCTCTGTGGTCCCTCTGCCTGAGAAGCCCCCAACCTTGTTCTCACCACTACAATCTCATCTGTGTGTCCACTCACAGTGACCCTCAGGGGCTGCAGGCTGGGGATGCACACGAACTGCATCAACCCACAAGTAAGAGGAGGTGACAGTCTCCCAGGGTCACCCCAGGTTGAGAACTGGCCTATCAGGAATAAGGTCTTTGGGCCTAGGAATACGGTCCTGGAGGCTGAGTACTCTGTCCCACCCCCTTTAAGGGGCAGCTGCTGGGACTGAGGTAGCTCAGTGATGCAACACTTGCCTACTATGTGTGAGTTCCCAGCACCAGCCACTCAGCCTCACTGCCACAGGACTGAGACCCTGCGCGCCTGCACGCCTGGGCTCAGTCCCCGGTTCTGACGGTGAAAGCAGGGGTCTTTTCCTCCTCCATATACCTCTGGGGCAGCCCCCAGACCCATCCCATGCTAGCCACAGGGAACTGTGGTTTCCACGCCCTGCCCACAAGCCTGGCTCTGAGGGCAATGTTCCCTCCTCCCCCTCGGTCCCAGACAGGGAGAGGACCATCGTCCAGGCTGGGTTCTGCTGCTCTGTGAGCCAAGGAGCCCGGCAGTGTGGGCAGGGCCTGGATGCAGCCAGCACAGGGGCAGGCCCCTTCTGGTGTCTGCTGTGCCAGGATTTCTCACCACAGCAGGTGCCACTTGGCAGGCCATGGATGGCAACCCACAGGTCCTCAAGGTATGCACCCTCCACCCCAGCCTAAGTCTGTCTGTGGCTGCCTGGTACCCACACAGAGGGTGCTCTTGCAGCCCCAGCCCTGGGGAGGCACAGACCGCCAGACTCCAGAGGGACAAGGACCTAGGACCCCAGACACGATCTGGGTGTTGCCCTTGCCGGAAGGCCTGGCACTGCAGAGACAATGGGCTGGAGCCACTCATGCCCGCCCCCTTCACCCGCTGCCAGCTGAGGTCATCTTCAACTTTCCTGTGGGGGAGGGGCTCTAGCCTCTGTAGAAATGACCCTCTACCCAGACTCGCACCTCGGTCTTGGTGCCCCATGGGCCCAACCCAAGGGGTCCAGGAGAGCTGGGGTCTGCGTGAGGAAGCGGGAGGTGGGAGGGACACTCAGGCATGACAGACGCAGACACTGGCTGCTCTAGGGAGCTGAGTCCCTGACCGCCCCCGCCTTTCCCTAAGCGTCAGCCCCAGGCTCCACACTTGCTGGCTGCCCCCTCCCTCCCCAGTCTGCAGGCCCCGCATTTTTCCCAGCTGAGAGCACTTTCACAAATATTGACTCCGAGACACTGAGGAGCAGGGTAAGGGGGCATGGAATCTTCCACCCCCGAGATGGGATGCATTACAGATCCCAGCCTTCCGTCTGTCCACCTAAAACCTTATCTGTCAGACAGAGCCCCGGACAGCTGGCCTCCAGGGTCTGCTGGCTGCACAGATACTGGAGGGCAGGGAAACTGTGCCTGAGAGCTCCCCTTCTGTCCCCAACCTGGTCCCTGCTCCCAGGGCTCCAGCAGTGCCCTTGGTGTGACCCAAGAGGGGTGCAGACCCCTGGACATAGCTCTTTCCCCGCCTTGCCTGTTCCATTTAGCTGCCAACTCAGGCTGACCTTTCTGCTGTTACATAGTTCTGTGCAGAAGGGAAAAAAAATGTCTTTTAAAGCAAAAGCCAAACAAAAGCCGCTGGTTATTTTTAAAAATCTAGCTATTTTGGGGTAGGCACGTCTCCAGGGCAGCAGCCGGGGCAGGCTCTGGGCCACCGTGCCCCCCGCCCAGCCTGACCCTCAGAGGGCCAAGGCTCCCAAAAGAGGGATTCTGCCCTGTAACCTTGCTCAACGGGGGTTTGGCAAAGAGCCCAAGAGGCAGGCCAAGCCAGGGCGGGAGTCCAGGGTGGGCCTCAGGTTTCACAGCAATTTGGCCTAAGGCAGCCATGGCCAGCCCCCCTACCCCCTCACCTCAGGATAATGAGAAGGGGTCCAGAGAGAAGGGACCAGGAAAAGGCACCTCAGCAAAGGTGTGGCTGTCCCAAAGCCTCAAGAGGAAGATAGCACCTGTCTCCAGGGCAGGCAAGCAGAAGCCAGGAGCCATCTGGTAGAGACATTGCAGAGGGCACCCGAGACACCTATACCTGGGTGTTCTGAAGGCTAAGGGGAGGAGTGACCAAGGAGCTGGGCCACATAGGCGAGGACAAGAGAGGGGAGCTGGTGGGGTCTCTGCAGGCCCTGGAGATGTAGGGGCAGGGGGTGGGGGGAAGGGAGGAGCCTTCTGGACTTCTCCAAAGATTGGCTCCTCTGGGGAAGGAGCCAAATCCCTGCTGCACCCACAGCCCAGCTCTGCCTTGATCTATCTGGGAGCTGGGGAGACCAAGGCTGGGGGCACAGGTGGCTACAGTACATGTCCTGGGGCTGAAGGGACCAGCCTCGCCCTTCCCCCCAGCCCCCCACCAAGCATGACTCAGCGGGTGGCCTGTGACTCAGGCCTGGCCCTGAAGGAAGAAGGCCTGGTGTCAATTCCTGGGAAGCCAGGGCCGGAACCCCCTCCTAGCCCCAAGGGTCCGGACTAAATGCTCCCTTGAGGCAAAGTTCTTGGGCACCTAGCTCTTCTGTGTCCTTGCCCCCATCCTTTCCAGATGTCCAGGCAGGCCTTGGAGGACCTGAGTTAGCCTGGTCCAGTCTCTAGCCTTTGCAGTCTCACTCTAAGTGCCCTTCTGCCCCAGAGACCCTACCTGGAAACACCACAGCAGGGGCCAGAGTGGCCAAGCCAGGGCAGGATCTCTCTCAGGCCCCCAACTGGGTAAATAAACATGGCCATCTCTGCAACCAATCAGGGAGCCCAAAAGCAGGCCACATGGGGACCCCACCCCATGAGATAGTGGAATGGAAAAGTTGACAGTACCTAGCAAGCTCATCACTGGGGATCAAAAATAAAAACATGGGGTCAGTAAGGACAGACAAGATCAGGAGCCCCAACTCTGCTGGGGGTGCCCGGCACACAGGTTTCCAGACAGCATGGAGAGACTGTGAATGAATGGCGGTGGTGTGGGAGGGGCGGACAAGGGCTCAGCAACTGGAGGAAGAACATGGGGGTCCCAGCCAGGTGAATGCCAAGTGGCCCCTGCACAGCAGGGCTAAACCTGGGGTGAATTCAGTGACTCCAACACCCCAGGTGGCCTGGGCTCCCTGCCCTCCTCACTGTGGCCCAGCCAGGTCAGACCAGATGGTCAGCCAGGGCCACAGGAAGTGGAGTTTATCCCAAGGGGACACACGGCTGAAACCCAAACAGTTTAGTCTCCACTGAGAGGTACGGTGAGAGGCCAACAGGTCAATGCAGTGGGATTTGTTTAAAAGCACAGAAAACAGGAAGCCTTTGGGGGCTGCCAGGCCCTGTGGGGATCCAAGCGGGGGCAGAGTGAGCAGGGGGACCAGTGTGACTGTGCCAGGGACAGATGTGTGCAGCTAGGGAGCAACAGAGGTGGGGCAGGCCAGGAGGGATGGCCCCCAGCCCCGGGCTTGGCAGGCCCTAGCTGGGTCCTCTGAGCAAGGAGGGGACAAGTAGAGGGAGGGAATGGGTAAAAGAAGGTGCTTGCCATTTATAGGAAGGAGGCAGTGCCTCAGGCTTGGCCTGAGAAGCTGCCCATGGGACCCCTACTCCATCTTCCCACAGAGAACTCAGCTGGAGGGGCCTGTTCTGGCCTAGCCTTGCACCTGTCCCAGCCCTGGGCTCTGTAACTGAAGCTTGTCCACGGGTGTACTTCCTGTTACTTCCCTGGACAACCTCACTGACCGTCTCAGGGCACTGGCCACATGGCTGGGTGCCCAGCTAGGCTCAGGGAGCAACCTGCACCTGGTAACTACCAGGCTACAGCATCCGGACCCAGGAGGCCTGCCCAGGAAGCCCCAACGGGCCAGCCTGAGGACAGGCAGGTCAGGCCTACAGATCACTCTGACAGCCAGTGTGCCCACCACACTGGAGAACCCACCCTCAGGCAGGAGTTCTCTTCCCCCCGGAGGAAACTGAGCCCAAGGGGAGACACCCAGCCCCAACCAACCCATGCCTCCTTCAGGTATCAGCACAGTCATGCCTCACTGACACTGTCCCTCTGATAAACCCTTACCTCAGTTTCCCCAGGGAAGGCTCTTATGTTCCAGAGGTCAACAGCTTCACCAGAGCTCTACCTCCTTAACACCCTTATCTGGTGAGGGTGTGGGAATCCCTTTAGCTGACCCCATCCCACTGCCTGTTACTCCCATCCCAATACCCCTCCTACTAATGGCTCCCCCACATCCCCAGAGGTCCAGGCCTCTCACCCTGGCATTTCTGGTCCTTAGGCAACACTTTGGCCTCAGGTCCAACCAGCCCAGCCAACCAGCCCCAGTGCCCCTCTCCACCCTGACCTCTCTCCCCCACCTGGCATCCCAGTCTGCTTTCCTGCAGCTCTGGGCCTTAGGGCTAGGACAAAGGCAGCTTCACCTGAGCCACCTGCAAGCAGGAGAGAACAAAGCCTGGGCCTCCCTGCCTGGCTGGAAAGGGGACCAGCACTCCTCATCTCTTTTGTCTGATGCTGAACCGGGGGAGGAGAGGAACATGGGCCAAAGCCAGTCCAACCCATCCCTGCCCACTCCTTAAGATCTGGGCACACTGGGAGCAAGGCCTGGGACCCAGAGACAGAGCCTGGGCAGGTCAGTTAAGTCAGGACTCTCTGCCACATGGCTGAGTCTGGGCAGTCAAGAGCTGCTCTGTTCCCTGGGCATAGGGTCTACAGGAGACTCTGGGAAGAGGAAGCCAGAGCCCGAAACCTAACCGTTAGGCCTCAGAAGCTTCCAGAGGACATGAAGAGACCCTCAAGGCTGTGATTCAGAAAAGTGTCACCAGTCACCAGCAGGAGCCTCTTCCTGGGGACCCTCCCCCACAGAAAAAGCCCTCTTCTGAAGCCGCACTACCGCCCAGGCCCAAGCTCTCCCAGGCATCCTGTCCTGGGGCTCCAGCTGCTCCCAGATGGACGTCACAGGGACAAGACTCCCCACTGCCTAGTGCCAGTTTGAGCCCCACCCATCAGGGTGTGAGATCCCCGGCAGCCCACCCCACCCTCCCGGGGCCTGTGAGGCGCAGGAAGCACTCCAGGGCTGGTGCCTGCCACCCCCACCTCCTTCCCAGGGCATCCGTTCCAATCCCAGAACAAAGACGCCGGCCCAGGCGCTTCCTGATGTTTCCTGAAGGAACCCCAGCCCAGGACCAGCGCCTCCAAGGACCTGCCCAGCCCCACAGTGCAGAGCCCCAGGAAGAACTTTTTCTGTGATGGAGTGGGGAACCCATTCACCTGCCCCACCAACCCCAGGCATGCTGAGGGCCACCCAGCGATCCCCATGCCGACAGAGCTTCTAGTCCTGGGTCACAGACACATCTACACAGGCAGCAAAGGGTGGATGGGGAAGGGAGTGAGGAGGGCTGGTGGGCCTCTTCCAACACAAGACTGGAAAGGACTCCTTTCCCCATCGTTTTACAGATGGTGAAACTGAGACTTGAGTAGGCAAGATGTCCATACCTTCTCCTGGCTCTGAACGATCTAAAGATCTGCTCAAAGCCCAATTCACTGATGTGGAGACTGAGGGTCAGAGAGGACCCCAGTCCTGGAGGCAGCAGAGTCCACACTGGTTGGCAGAGAGTCCAACTCTCCCTTGGCCTGGGCATGCTGCCCATCTCCTCTGCAGGCACCCTGGAGTTACCATGGAGACAGAGCTCTCTGCCCTCCCCTGGCCCACTGGCCCAGCCAGGCGAGTCTCTGACGGAGGGACTGGAAGGACACCTGTCCCCCAGTGGGTGAGAGTGCACATATGTGCCCTCCCACAGGTGCTCCCATTGCTGTGCCAGAGAAGAAGCACCCTTGGGCCCATGGGGCTCCTAAGCATCCAGGCCCCACACTCCAGGGAGTCTGGATGAAGGGAAATGGGCCCAGCCCCACCCAGACCTGGGCCAGGTCAGGACTGGGGGCCAGAGAAGCCCAATGGGCAGTGCTTTTCCTAGTCTTCCCTCCCCTCCTTCCCCACCCTAGATGCTGGGCACGACTGCAAATCCACAACCCCCTGGAAACTCCAGGTCACTTAAAACCACTCTACCCCTGGCAACTGTCTGCCCAGTGGGCAAGACCCTCAGGCTGTTAGGCAGGGAAAGAGGTACCTGCCCTGCAGTCTATCCTTCCAACATACTTGGGTTGTAGCAGGGGCACAGGCTCAGAAAGGAAGAGAGATGGTCTGGGTTACACACTGTGAGGACAGCAGAGCAGGTCAGAACATAGGCTCTGCAGGGTGGAGATCTAGCAAGATAAACCCTGTGCCCCACCCCCACCTCAATTCCTCACTTCAAGCTCAGCCTCCCTTACCCTGGTCCCAGAGAGCAACAGTACTGCTGGAGCATTCGGTTTCCCCAAGCCATGTCCCCAAGGCTAAGCCCCTGGGCAAAGTCACACTGAGAGGGACCCAACCCAGAGCAAAGTCAGAGTCCCTAGACCCTGTCCACCTTGGAGGGCTCGATCATCACTGGCAAGTGCCCAGCTCTACTGCCTGCCCATGCAGGGGCCTGGAGGCTGAGCAGAGTTGAGGGGCTGGCGGACTGAGTGCATGCATCTAACCCCTAACCCCAAGGTGGCCACGAAGCACAGGTATCCCAGGAATGTCCACTTCTACCAGGCCTCTTCTTCCACATTCCTGCGGCCCCTCCCACAACCCGCCAGGAATTCCTTAGAGTAAACACCAGGCCCCTCTGGGGGCACCAGGGCTCAGTGTTTGCCCACTCCCTGGGGCACACGCAGACCCCTGCTCTCCCCCAGCTCTGGTGAGGCCACTGTAGCACCCCGTTCAGCCCCCTCCTCCCCTGCGTGTCCGGGGATGCTAAAAGAACAAACACAAGGTGGCCACTCCGGGGCCCTGCCTCCCAGCCCCATCCGTCCTGGGTGGGTGCAGTGACCTCCCTACCAGTCTTGTGCCCCAAGTGAGTCAAGTGGCTAGAGATGAAGGGTGGAAGCTACAAAGGCACAAAAGGACCCTACCTGGCCCAGGTCCAGGGTAACATTGACCTCGTTGTACTCCAGGCCGCGAGACAGTGGTGGGCTCTGCCACCAGCGCTCGGTGCCGTCGATGGCATTGCTCACGGGATGTGCCTTGTTGTGGTTAGCAGCCGTGCAGATGTCGCAGTACTGGCCCTACCGGGAGAGGGAAAGGAGGTGGTCAGGAGCCTAAGAAGGGCAGCCCCATACCCGCCCCAGCCACCCTCCTGCCATGATTCAAGCCCTGGGTCCCCTTCACACCAACCTCCACCCCGACCAGTAGACCCACATCTGCTGTACATGCTGAGTACAAGTGTGTAGGCATTAGCAGGTGAGGCCTGGGCACCCTGACTGCTGCTCCTGAGCACTGGAAACCCCAGAGCCTCAGTGTCCCCATCTGCAGAGTGGGGTGACACTGCACCTGCCTCAGCCTGCCAAAGGGCATGGCAGCTGCTCCATGACAGTATGGACACCTGCTGGGGCCTGTGCTCGGTGCGGGGGAGGGGCAGTGGGGATAGAAGCCCAGAGGCCGTTCCAGCAGGGTGGTGAACTACTGTCCCTGGTGGGGGAGGGGCAGAGCCCTGGCTAACGGCCAGTGGAGCCCACCCCCCACAGGAAACTAGACCTGCTTCACACAAAGGCAGCCCTGGAGACCTGGCATTGATTGAGGCCCCAGAGGCCCAGTCTTGGAAAGCAATGGCCCTGCCCCTCCCAGGCTGGGGGAGGGGCCCAGACCTGGTGAAGGAGGTAGGTAGGAGCACTGGAGATCACCTACCCACAACCCCCCAGCCCTGACTTGCACACAGTATGCCCCTGCCTGCCCTGTGTCAGCCCTGGGACTCCACCACGTGCAGGATTATAAAACACAGCAGACTCCACGATGTCCAGTGGCTCACAGGATCCCAGGTTTGGGTTGCCCCTGCCTAGGTGACCTTTGAACCTTCACATTTGCTGTTCCCTCCATCTTAGATGTCACCTCCTCAGCAGGGCCTAAGCTCTGGACCACCCAAGATGCATGACCACCCATGATTTCTCCGGCTATTCCCTCTTGGTGTGGTGTTTATTGCCTGCCTCAGGGCCCCCAGGTCTCAGAGGCAGAGGCTGGTCACCTTCCTCTCTCCTACCTGCACCCAGCCACCACCCAGAGCTGTTGCACAGAGAGAAGAGGGCAATAAGAGGGCCTCGGTAGGGACTCCTGGACTTGAACCTGGGGCTCCCCAGCCTTCAGAGGGGCAGAGGGAGCACAAGAGAGGCCCAAGGGGCTCACTGAGGGCACCACCTCTGGGTGCCAGCTGGGGTGGGAGTGGTCAGGAAGGGAGTAAGTAGAAAGACGTCCCAGGGAGGCTACCTACTGGCCAAAACCCTCCCAGGGTTTGGGTGGGCCCAGGATCAAAGGTGGAAGGTGGGCCTTCCAGGAGCCCAGGGAAGCCAGTGCTCAGCCCCTGCCAGGTGGCAGAGATGATCTGGAGTTAGGGAGAGGTGGTCCAGTCCCCACTCAGTCAATCACTGAGCAGCAAGCCACAGTCTAGGCCTCCCTGCCAGCCTCTGGCTTACAGGGCTGGGAAAAATGCCCCACCCCCACCTTTGCTACAGAGGGTCCTGCCAGGAACAGAGCTAGGAAACCAGGGGTTGATAAGGACTTCCCCTTCCAGTGAGTCACCAGTTGGCCTGATTCTGGGCCAGCCCAAGTTCCTCTGATGCCCACCTGAGACTACGAGAATGGGAGACCCAGCTGACCTCTACCAGCCCCAGGCACCCACTCTCGGCCTCATGCAGAGCCACAGCAGGGAGTACCAAGGCTCCCACCTAGGACATCATAGGCTTCTTCTATCCCCATCCCCTACAATGGTTGGGGCTGCACTGTGGGTCCCAGGGTTCCACATCTCCCGTGACCCACCCCCCACACTACAGCAGGATGGACTCTGGGGATGCCCTCATGTCATCACACCACCTGGCCAGGTTCTGTGGGCCAGGTCCTGTCACTTGGAAATGGTTCTCTGAGACTCACTGCACTTAGAAGTAGGGAAAAAAGCGTCCATCCACCATGCAAGCTCAGTGCTAGATGTGGACTGGAGGAAGGCCCACTCCGAGTACAGCACACTGCTACCGACATCTGCAGAGCAGTCACTGTGTGCCTGCTTTCCAGGCTCCGGCACCAGGCTCTCAACCTCAGGTGAAGCACTCTACAGGTAAAACTTGGGGCTCAAACTGATGGAGTAGCTCACGTGGTAGCGCGCCTACCAAGCAAGCAGAAGGCCCTGAGTTCAAATCCCAGTACAATAAATAAACAAACAAACAAAAACTTGGGGCTCAGACAGGAAACTGCATAGCTGAGGACAGGCAGAGCAGGGCTTTGACTCCAACCACCAGGCTTCTATGCTTTTAAAGCACTATCCAGAGGTAGTAACAGCCACAAGGTGACAGATCCAAGCAGGTAACCCTGAGCAATGGTCTGTGTCATGGATGGAGCAGGTGATCTGGGGTCCAGAAGTGGACTAGGGCCTCCCCCACTGGGGCAGCTCCTAGAAAAGCAACAGCCAGACCCAGCCAGGCCCTGCAGGGCAAGTCTGGAGACACTACACAGCTCCTTCCACCCCCAGGACAACCAAATGGAGTGGGGGTCCCCAGCCAGGAGGCATTGGCTTCCCACTGCTCACTCGAGCTAAACCTGTTTTGGATGTGGGGTTTTCATGCAGGTGTCTGCACCTTTCCAGGCTTTGGTTTCCCTGCCTGAAGATCAGGCTTGCCACCCACTATCCAAAGGGCTGTGCTCTGCTAGACTTGGAGGGAATGCCCCTGGGAGGTGAGGGGAGGGGTTCCTGCTCCTCCTTCTCCACTTGGAGCTCCTGGGCCCTCCTCCCCCACCCCAGCTAATCCATTTTCAGCTACTCCTCCCCTTCCCAGGAAGGTGGAAGCAGGTCCCTAGAGGCTCCAACTTGGGTTACATCTGCCCCAGCGTCCCCAGACTCTTCCTAAAGTGGGGCAGGGAGGGGAGTCTGGCCTAGGTAAGCTGCCAGAGAGCCCTGGGAGTACACTTTGCCCCTCAAGGCTGACCTTTATACACCCTCCCCCCAAGACTGACCCCAGCGGAGATCCAGAGACTCCCATCAGCTTGCTTCCCTGGGCAGGAGTCCAGCTAAAGGGCCACCTAGCTGGGCCCACCTTCAGGCTCAAGGCTTGCCGGGCGCGCCTCCAGAGGGTATTCAGGAAGGAATCCACATCTCCCCAGGGAGACTGAAACCCAAGGATCTGACACCCGGTGATCGGAGGGCTGGCTGCCCATGGCCGCCTGCATGTACTCCCACTCAGTTCAAACCTGCGCTGCTTGTCCCTCCCCCCCCCCCGCCTCCCCAC